GAGCACACCGGCACTGTCTACTACCAAAGCAATCCTGGGGCTGGACGCGAATGAGCAATTTCACCAACATACCAACGAGAGCCACCCACACACGCGTACGGGCAGAGGCGAGGCATTCCTGTCGTGGGGGAGCACAGTTGGACTCAGACTACCGCCACAAGCCATGCACATCCCCAGCTACTACCCCTACAACACAGCACTCGAGCCACGCAGGCTCGACTACCTTCTGCTCAAGCAAGGTCACAGCCTACAAATCGGCCCGCTGCCAGCCAGAGACATGGCGAGATCCGACCATGAACCCATACTCGGGCAGATCAAAGCCAAACCCATCAGCAGACCAAGACCTCACCGACTAGCGGGAGTACGGCACCTACACCCACCGCCAGGCACCTCCATCCGGGACCACCTGGACGCCCAAACAACACAGCCACCTGGAGACCGACACCACCAGATCGCAGAGCTCTGCAAAAGCACCGCACCCTCAAAGCACTCCGTAGACAAGCCCACAATACACCACCAGGACCGGAGCGCAGAACAGCATGGAAAGCCGTCCAGCGTCAGCTCAAGGCAGAACGCAAGCAACACAAAGAAGAACTTATTACCCGAGCAAGCACCAAGGACTGGCCAGCCTACCGACAACACAAGCACCACAGCAACAAAAAGGGAGATTGGATTGCGCTACTGACTGATGCACACGACTGGCAGCAAGCGCTGCTACGTCACTTCGAGGGCATCTTCAAGAAAGCTGATGGGGAAGCCAAGTCCCAAGCCTTTGCAGACATGCACCTGAGGCTGTCGTATCGCTGCAAGGCCACACCCTGGGTACCATTCACCATGGCAGAACTCTTGATCGTCAGCAGCAGGTGGGGAAAGCACAAAAGCACCGGGGTGGATGGCATTGCACACGAAGCATTCCAACTCCTCATCCACCGCCCGATTTGGGGGGGAAGAGTGCTGGCAATGCTCAACGAGGCCCTGTACACAGGCAAACTCCCAGCACTCGTCGAACGGGGGCTGACGATCCTGCTCCCGAAAGGGGGGAAGCCAGCCAACTGGAGCGACACCCGACCCATTACCCTCAGCAGCACAGTGCTGAAAACCCTCGCACAGCTGCTCCTACACCGAGGGGGGAGATGCCTCAACCACCTGCATACCTACCAATGGGCGGCACCACACAAACAGGGGGTGGAACTCATCCTCACATTGAGGAAAGTAGCCAGAACGGGGGCAGATTGGGGGGAGACTTCTGGATTATCAAGCTCGACCTCCAAAAAGCCTTCGACTCCGTGGCCCAGGATAGTTTGGGGGGGCTCGTCACCGACGAGATTGGACCCACATTCCCCTGAGAGGCCCGTCTATGGCTAGCACTGCTAGACGCCCGCCGCATCCACATCGCCACAGACAAGGGGGAGGTTGCGGTTGACCAAACCAACGGGGTCAGACAAGGGTCACCCGACTCTCCAGTGCTCTTCGCCGCCAGAGTTGCCCAGATCCTCGAGCACACCCTACTACGTACCCAAAGCCAATCCCGAGGGGGACCCTCCCTTTCTTACCGCCACCACCCCACCACAAGGGATCGTTTATGGACGATACCTACCTGTGGGGGGAGAACCCCCACCACCTCCAAAACACCTTACACCTCCTGGAGACCATCCTGCACAGGCACGGGCTCAGCATTAACCCCAAGAAGACACACATCATCAGCAACAACCCCAAGAGCACTGTCACCTTCACAGTGGGGGGACAAACCAGAAACCGGAGACACACCACTCCGAGTGCTAGGCTCACCTGTAAGCTTCCGGGGGAGCACACCCCAGCTCATTGCCGAAATGAGCAGCCGAGCCCGCACAGCCTACGCACAGAACAGACAACTTCTCAGCGCAGACACACCAGCAGGACCAAGACTGCAGCTGCACGACACGCTCGTCCGACAGAGTGCCTTGTGGGAGAGCGAAACATGGCCAGTGCAAGACAACCTTCTCAAAGCCGCAAACACACAGCAACTCACCCAACTTCGCAACATGACAGGGGGACGTAGAAAGCCAGGAGAGCAGTGGAAGCACTGGAACCAGAGAAGCCTCAGACAAGCCAGATTACTACTTCACAGAAGCAAAACCACACGATGGTCCACACACATACTACGTTCCATATGGCGCCTATGGGGGCACGTGATCCGTGGAGGCGGCGTCACTCGGGAAATGCTGCTGTGGCGGGGGCTCTCCTTCTGGAGGCAGGAACAACGGAAAACACCAGCGGAGGGGGCTCGTCATGCGGCCAGATTCTGCAGCGCGCTGGACACTGAGAGGCAGATCGCAGCAATCGGGGGAGAAGACTGGCCCACCAAGGCCATGAACAGGAAAGCCTGGCAAGACCTCGAAGCAGACTTTGTTGAAGCCTTCGACGTAGAGTAGGCCACAGGCAAGCAACCACAACTAGCAAACCTTGCGCCAGGCAGACAGCGCAGCACCACCCACCCTCAGCCACTCAACGACTCCACCCCAAACTCTACACCCACCGAACAATGCACCACCACACAACACTCCACACTCAGCGATCGCGAATGACCCCACAACCCAAGGGAGACAGCGAGGAGCAGAGAGAGGAGAGTGTTCACCATCAAGTGCATGACAGTCCAGACATGTTCTTCAGTTGTTACAGTACAGTTACATGTGCAAGCCACCTTTCGGTTGTTGCACTGCAGTTGCATGTACAAGCTCACTTGTGTACCAGCGATCCACGGGGGCACACTGCCACGCTGCCGTTGCAGCTCAGCCCATCTGCCCGGAGCTCAGCGTGAAGCACCAGCACCATGGCAGGAAGAGCACTCACAGTGTTGACCCTCCTGATGGGGGCGCTACCGGCGCTCTTGTGGGGAGCACAGAGAGGCGGCCAAGGACCGCCACCAGAGCCACACGACACGCGGGGGACCAGAATGGGGAACCCGCGAGAAGTACAACAGACGATCGAGCCAGTCAACGGAGCAGGACCACTACCACCAACACTACACAAAGCAGCCGGGGAAGCAGCGGGGCGCACGCCCAGAGAGACGACCACCACGCAGCGAGACCGAACGCCACCGGGAGGCAGAGGAGGCCTCCCAGGGGGCACGCAGCCAGGACACACAAACCCACAGCGACAGCAGCCACACCAACCCATGCCGCCACCACAACAGCCCGGGGGCCACCAACAGCATGCTGCAGCCCAAAGTTCTCAGCCACAAGCACCACAACAAACCACACCCCAACAGACCACAGTCGCCTCCACAGCGGCCGACGACTACGACCCATGGCACCTCAGCGACTCCGAGCAAAACCCACAGCCACCACAAGAACAACAACCTCACCAAGGACAATCACCACAACAACCACCACCACAACAACCAGCACAAGGGCAGCATGCCCACGGACAACCACAGCCACCGCAACCACAAAGGCGACAGGCTCACGGGGGACAACAGCCACATCAACCGCCACCGTCGCATTACCACAGACCCAACAATGCCCACTACGCGCCACCGTGGGAAGCAACCACCGACCCCTGGCATGAAGCCGGGGAGCTAGCACCGGAAGAACAAGTCGGCAGATACCCAGGCATGCCCTCTACCAAGAAGCAACAGCAGAGTGTTCCCAAACTCCAACTACCGACCAAAGGGGGAACACAACATCCACAACAACCACCACCCAATCCACAGCAACCTCCACAACAACCACAACCTCAGCCACCGCAACCCACCGACCCCCAAAACACAAGACAACCTCCCACCAAGAGAGCCAACAGATTCACAAGCTCTGCAGCACACAGGGAGGCCAGAAGAGAAGCCGAAAGAGCCGCAGCGGGGGTGGGTCGCAGTCCATTGGAAGGATGTGGCTGCCATCGGCATGTGGCCGGTTCCGTCCCCCGCGGTAGCCACCCAGGGGGGTAGCCATGGTACCTGTGGTGTTGCTGGCATCGTGTTGCTCCCATATGCCGGTGGTTGCTGCTGTAGGTGTGGAGCTTCTCCGCCATGTGTTTGCTGCGCTGCGCTGGGGTGTATCTGCTGTTGCGTGCGTGGGGTATGGCTGCCGGGTGGTGGTTGCTGCGGTGGTGGTGCTGGGGTCGGACCTGTTGGTGCCCCGGTCCGTGGCTTCGCGTCTTTTCCTTGAGGTTGCATTTGTGTGGCCTGTTGCCACAGTAGGAGGCAGAGTGTTGCTGCCAGGCATCTGCGTGTTTGTGGCATGCTGTTCATCCTCTGTCGTGCTCTGCCCTGCGGTCTCTCTCGTCGGGGAGTGCTTTGTCTTGAAAAGTTCGCCTTATTGCAATCTCGGGCTTAAGTGAGGCTTCCAGGTTCGAAGTTGTACGGGTGGTCGGGAAAGTTAAAGATATTGTTCAGGTAGTCGTCAAGGTGCATGTAGGTCAGCATGAGCGTGTAGTACATCGTGATCATGTAGTGAGTCACATGCAGCATGTCATCGTCAGAGCGGAGTGGTGGCGGCGCGGCGAAAAGTTGACAAAGTGCATCCCTCAGTGTCACTGGCACTGCGAGGCTTGCGGGGTAGTCGGAGAGGTTTGGGAGTGCTTTCGAAAAGGTTCGCATGTGGGAGGTTCTCAGACATGTCGTGAATGTTGGCATAGACTGGCACCGATCCAAAACAACATGTTGCACTCGGCGAAGCTGAGGAGGCGTGCTAGTTTTTACTTCTGCTTCAGTCCCTGCACTGGCCTGGCTACAAGTGAGGAGGGTACAATCCCCTGAGCCCGGGATCGTCTTGCGTGCACACTTCCCGGTATAGGTGTCGGTAAGCATGTCGTAAGTGCTGGGAGGCTTCCTTTCGTGACGAGAAATCATCCAGCTTCACCGAACTCCATCGTGCTTGATCATTCGCGGTCTCTTCGGCCTCTTCCTCCGGGCCTTGGTGGTGTTCTCCCCCGGCCTGTTCGGTGCCAGGTTCTCGAGCTGCGACTGATTGCCAGAGGTCCAAGGCACGTCGAACCGTTCGACGAATTTTTCCCCCAGGGTTTCTTCAAACGAGACGGTCTTGAGCAACGTCTTGCCATGCTTCGCCTGCGATGTCACTGATCTGTCGTTCCACATCCAGCAGTGGGTGAAAGCGGCTGGCGTGTCTTTCCCCGCCCCAGCTTTGTGGCACAGATTGTTCAACACGCCACCAACGGAGATCACGCCAACGTAGCATCTTGGAGGCCACCACGTCCCCGTGTGCAATGTGTCCCATGAGTCCCCAGATTTGCTGAAGGATAAAACTGCTCCATCGGTCAATTTTGCTTTGGTGAAGTTGCAAGCGAGCTCTTCTCATCGTTCTAACGTTCCAATCTGGCCAGGACTCCCCCGCTTGGCGCGGGGGGGACATCATCGCCCGCGCGTGGAGAAGTTGCAGAGTGTTAGCGGCTTTGAGCACGTAGTCGACGCACGGCCACGTTTCGCAGGCCCATAATGCGCTCTGTCTGACCAGTACTGTGTGGAGCTGCAAGCGACTCTTGAGGGGGGCCTTTGACATCAGTGTCCCCCTGTGCTTGCCGAAGGCTCCCTGCATTTCGGCTACCAGGATCGTGGGCGAGCTGGCGAAGCAGACTGGGCTTCCCAGTGTGCGAATGACGTGCTTGGGCCCTTTGCTCTCCACTGTGTTCCCTGCCACTTGGAAAGGAACTCCCCCATTCTGGTTGTCGATAATCTCTGTCTTGTCGGGGTGGATGTCCAGGCCTTTGGGAGGTAAGTTCTCCCCCAGTCTATCCAGCATGGCTTGTAGGTGTCTTCTCGTAGTTGACCAGATATAGCTGTCATCCATATAGCAGCACCCGTCTTCCGGTGGCGGTTCCCCGAAAGTGCACTTGGCGGGGGCTGCTTGTTGGATGGAGCTCTCCAGTTCGAGAGCGACGACCCTTCCGAAGGCGATGGGGCGGTCTGGGCTGCCTTGTCGTACTCCGTTGGTCTGGTCCACCACGAAGTTTTCCCCGCGAAAGTGGATGGTGACTTCTCGGGCGTGAGTAGTTGTACCCATGCTCTGGCTTCCCAGGGTGCTCCCCCGTCTTCCCCCACATCCTTGGCGATCTGCTCGGCGAGGGCTTCTTGGTAGATGGAGTCGAAGGCTTTACGGATGTCCAATTTGGCAATGTACATGGGAATCCCCCAGTCATGTGCTGTCCTGCATACTTTTCGAAGCATCATGATGAGTTCCACTCCTTGTCGATGTCGTCGTGACCATTGCAACCTTGAAGGGCCTTGTACCAGGTGGGCTGTCCTGTGTATAATCAGCTGCGAGAAGGTCTTAAGCAGGGTGGAACTGAGCGTGATGGGCCTCGTTTCCCCCCAAGTATGGGGGGTCGGGCACTTCGCCAGTAAGACTGTAACTCCTGCTTCGAGGCCTTGCGGGAGCTTTCCCACGTACAGCAGGTCGTTCAGAAAGTACAGGAGCTTCTGCCGCCAGTAGTCGTGCTTGGAAAGTGCTTTGAGGGTTCTTCCATCGCTTTCGCACCGCTTTCAGCTCTGTTTCGTCGAAGGGGCGCCAAATCGCGTGTTTGCACATTGCTGTGAGCTTCTTGGTGATCTCCTGCAGTCTCTGATCGACTTCGAGCCGGGCTCGTTTGCTGAAGATGTCGCTGAAGTGCTTGTGCAGGGTTTCTCGCCACCGTTCATCATCTTGTAGTTGTAGTTCCCAGGCTGTTGTGTGGCCATCGCTGTCGACCACTTTCTTGGAGTGCCAGAAACCCTTCCCCGCCTTCTCGTGCATGGTCTGCTTCCAGGTACGGTGCTCTTGTCTGCGGAGTTTGAGGACTTCTTTCCACTGGCGTCTCTGTTCGTCCCCCGGGATCATACGGATGATTGTCTGTCTTCGGACTTTCAGCTCCTCGCTCTCTTGGAATCCACGGATCCCCCGGCCTGGCTTAGTGACGGCCACCGAGATGTCGCGGAGCTGCTTGAGGGGGTCTCCGGAGGTGCGTGGGGTTGTGGCTAAGACCTTCTCGACGAACTTGATGTCACGTAGCTGGCGGCAGCCCCAAGGTTTGTCGCGCTTTGGTGGCTTTGTTCTTTCTGACTGAATCCCACATGACACCCACGCTGGTTCGTGATCACTGGTTGCGAGGTGGCGGACGTCCCCCACGTTGCCCTCTGCGGTGGTCATAGTCCGTGTGAAGATGTAGTCGAGACGGCGTGGGTGCATGCGTCTGTTGTAAGGAAAGCACGAGGGTTTTTCCAGCTTCTGTGGTGGGATGTCCCCGTTCAGTGCTGTCCACCACGTCAGGATGAGCTCACCTCTTGCCGAATCGGAGAGCACATCGTCCTCATGCCCAGCCTTGAAGGTCTCGTTGGCATCTACACCAATTACGATCTTCCGATCTGTTCTAGGAAACCCCAGATGTCCATGATGCTTTTATATGCTCACTGATGCCTTGGCTAGGCTGTTGAGCTACGTGTTTGAAGTATCTAATTAATATCTCTTGCGAACCAATTCTTTTATCTACTCTTTGAACACCGCACATGCATACATGACACACGTACGTGTTCGAGTGCTGTGCGGTAGGAGTAGGGAGATGGGCACTGGCCCGAAACAAGAACAGAAAAAGACCTCGAAAAAAGAAAGCGGAAAGGCTACGGGGCAGCCATGTAAAGGTCTAGTGCAAGGGATTTTCACTTCTGTTCGCGTGCATGTTTTTGCAGTCGACATATGCTTGTCTCGAAGGCGCCAAGCATGTCTCAAAGCCATTTACACGACGAAACTGCGATGGCTCAAGAACGACAAAAGGCCACTGACCGAGAGAAGGGTTTTTGGAAGTTCGGGGTTTTCAGGGCATCCCTTCGGTGCGGCTAGGCTCAGCGTGCTGTGCCTACTTACACCTTCTGTGAAGCTCTACTCCCCTTGGAAGCCAGAAGCACTTGAGGACAGTCTGCATTAGATCACGACATTGCAGAGTTCCTTCAGTGCATCAGACAGAAAATCACGACATTGCAGAGTTACTTCAGTGCGCGGGGCGCACTGGCTGGCATTCTGGTTGTAGTGATTCTTTAGGTCGTTTGGTTTCCCTAGTGTTTTCCCGATCCCGGTTTAGGCGGTCCTTATCGTACCCTAAAAGGCTCAAACGTTCAAGCTGTGAAAGCTGGTCGGCGACAACGGTCGCGATCAAAGAACTGAACTACTTAGTATTGCTATGGAGCTATCGCCTGTTCCTACGCATTATTCTGTAGTCACCGATGGAAGCCCATATCAACAACAGGTTATGACTGCCCAAGCTACCCAAGAGAACAGCAGTTCACCAGGGACTTATCATGCCACTATGAATGTGCAAACTCTTCAGAGAATGCAGGTCGAGATTCCAGTAGAGGTTTTGCGGAGTTTCCAGCCAGCAACTGCTTTTGATCAGGCAGCATTGTCTGACTTGAGTGCCGCTGTGCAGGAGCTGCATGATCGACTCCAGTATCGCACTGGGCTTTTGGGGTCCGCCGTAGAAAATGTTCATAGTGGGTATCAGAGGGTTCTTGATGAATTGCAAGCCGTAAGCGTTGCCGTGGACGCACAGCATCGCGTGATCCAGACATTGATTCGGAGCCGTGATGAAATGCATGAGCAGATAGAATCAGTGAAACACAATCTTCAGACTAGGGTGGATCTTCTTGAAGGTGCGCAGATGGGTACTAAGCAATGGCAGGCCCAGGTCGAGGTGCATATCCAGAAGATTGACAACACCTTGTATGTCATGAATGAACGCCAGCAAAGATTGGATGCAAAGTCCGACGCAGTGCTTCAGGCGTGCAGTGATCAGCAGACTGACGCAGCATCTTCCAGTGCAAATGCTCGTATTGCAATGCTTGAGAAGGATCTGTCAGAGCTGCAGAACAAACACGAACAGTTGCTTAATCTTGTAGGTGACCTGTATGCAGAGGACACCACAGGTCCTGCAACCGCACCGTGGCCAGATTGGAGCTGGCCGGAACAGCATGGACCGGCGTGGCCCACTTTTGAGGCTCCCCAGTTTGCAGTTCCTCCAGGTTTGAGTGGAAATGCTCAAGGCGTTGGCGGCCTAGGTCAAGCGCAGTACTTCAACATAGGTTCACCAGGCCCTGGAGGGAACAATCAGCAATCATGTGCAGCAGAGTTTGATTTGTGGGGTGACGCGCAATATGATGCAACGGCAGGGGGAAATTCCGTCTGCAACTGCAGCTGCAACGGCTGCCAGTCAGGGTGGAGGCCAACAGGCGAGTGCCACTACCCAGAATGTGAGTGCAACGCAGGATGCAGGAAACAAGCAAGATGCTGATGATCTTGATCTTATCCCCAACGAGAGATGGAAGTGCTTGTTGGAGGTGCCGACTTTTGATCCTAAGGATGGTGTAGGGTTGCCTTGGGAACTAGGACTTCGGTTTGATGTGTGGAAGAAACAATTCCTTACACTAGCCTCCAATGTACATCCCCGGTTTGCTGATTACGTCTCTGTGTGCTTCAAGACAGCGCAAGAACGGCATGACATCCAGGCCGAGGGAAGACAGGCGCCTCCGTTTCAGCCAGTTGCGGGGTATCCGGCGATGTTTGAGTCTAGACTTGTGATGGTGTTACTTCGAGTGCTCCCTGATGGAGTTAAGACGCCTGCACTTGAATCAGACGAAGGCGGCCAGAAGATCACATCTCAGCGCCTGCTTGAAGAATTGTACCTGTGTGTCAGGCCAGGTGGTTTGGAGGAGCAGCAAACCCTGGTTAGATTCTTGAGGCAAGTGAATCCCGTTGCAACAGCTCGCGAGGCCATAGAATTGTTGCGTCGGTGGAGGCTCGCCAAGAATAGGATTGCTTCACTGTCCTTGCCAGAGGTGCCGGCGTATGAGCAAATTAGCGGCATTCAGAAGATGCTTAAGAACCTGGAGCGGCAACATGACAGCCTCAGGACCCGTCTTTCCTTGATTCGCATACACCCTGACGTGCAGTTGGCTCGCCCGCAAGGGGTGATGATGGTTCTGGAGACCGTGGAACAGGAGCTTCGGCAAATTGCTGCCGACGAAATGGCCAGGGATAATGCGGGGGATGGTTCAGGGCAACCTAGTGGAAATCAGGCAAAGGGTTCAGAGCAAAAGGGTAAGGATAAAGGGAAAAGTGAGGGGAAAGGGAAGCAGGCTGATCAAAAAACCAACCCTAACCCTAAAGAACATCCCAAAGGCAAGGGCAAAGGCGACAAAGGTGCAAAGCCGGAGGCACAGCCTAAGAGGAAGTGCATTTTTCACGGCCGCAAATCTGGGTGCCGGTTCGGTGATGCTTGTAAGTACTTGCACGAGGGGCCATCAGGTGCTGCTCAGAGCGATCCGCAAGGGAACAATGCACAGGCTGCTGAGGCGCAGAAGGCGAATGCAAAGGCCAAACCCAAGCCGAAACCGGCAGCAAAGGCAGCTGCTACATCCGTCGTCAGCTCATCCTTCGCAGGCATGATTATGTCTGCACCGCGTGAGGAAAATCCTTTCCCGCATCGTCAGATTCCTGAGTGGCCGTTGTGGATGTGTGAACTGACCCTTGAGCAATACCTTGAGTGGCAGAGGCATCCCTTTGGTATGACAGGATACTTCAATCAGGTAGACCATCCTCGAATCAGTCCCAAGCGTAAAGACCTTGAGGCCAATTTGTGGATTCACTTGAGCGAGTGCGAGATTGAGAAATGGATTGAAGGGTGGATGGATGGAATGGTGATGAAGATGTACACTGATGCTGGGTTAATTGAAGCTCAAGTGGTATCGGCATGGCAATATGAGACATGTGTTCATGAACCCGGATTCTTGGTAGCGACAGGCTTGGAATCAGATGAACCATGTTACAGGGTTCTGGTGCTTGTGGCCAACCGGCCTGGGTCACCAGTGCCTTTCAATGCTATGCAGCAGGCTCGGTTGGATGATGATCGGAGGATTGAAGATCCGAGAGCATCGAGCATTGCGGACAGTGTCACAGGAGCTGCTGATCTTGAATTGGACTTCCAAGAGTCTGAGGAGGAGTCGATGTCCGACTCCGAAGTGCGCACACTTTCATCTTTTGAGACCCTGTCCAGCGAGTCTTCTGATTATGAGATGCCCAGAAGGGGAATGATTTGGGGGATCCACTTAGCCGAGGAGGATTTTCGTGCGTGGATTAGGCCCGGAGTCCTTGGGGTAAATCATGATGAAGCTTTCATTCCTGTGATAGGCGATGAAGGGTTGGAGATGCGTGCATGGAGGACCTTGATGATGTTCCGAGGCCGTCCTGATTGGCATGAGGATCCCATTGACATCAGTTACGGACAGCATATCACTTTTACGCAAGAGGTTCAGGTGCAAACTGCTCCGAGGGTGTTTAGCACAGCTTATGCAGTGTGTGTTCACGATTCTAGACAAGGGCAAGAGATCTTGTTGGGATTGTGCGCGTATCCAACTAGGCCGTGGATCACTCTAGAACCGATCCGTGTGGAAGGGCATGCAGGTGCACTTGAAGCCAGAACCCCACAGTTCCACCACCTCCAGGATACGGTGGAGGAGATTATGATCATATCCCTGAAATCAACCAACTTCATAGCGCTCAAAAGGGCGTGTCAGGACACAACGGAGTTCTTCTGGACTCTGGAGCGAATGAGATTCTTCGCCAGCAGGAGCACCGTCCTGCCAGATCCGTGCCGCTGCCACTTACCTTGGCGAATGGGGCGTCAATCGATGCTTTCCGCACCAAGGAAGGGGAGGTTGTGGTTGTAGGAGTTGAGAATGGGGATATCATTTGTGGGGTGAATAGGCTAGTGCAAATAGGCTGCAAGTTTGAGTGGGGCTACATCAATGGTCCCCGACTGCACTTACCATCGGAAGTCGGAGGTGACGAGGAGCAACTGCGCGAAATCAATGGATTACCCTTCATGAGCCGTAAGACTTTCCTTAAGCTTAGGCCCTTGATGACCCAACATTGGAAGCATCATCACACCGCTTGTGTTGCTGCTAGCGCGGAATCGATGTCGGAAGTGTGTAACATCTTGAGCTGGTCAGACCTGGACCATGTGATCAACGCCCAGGAGGAGACAGCTGTTCAGGCATTGGTGGCAGAGCATCCTGGAGAGATGTTTGCTAAGACTATGCTTGAAAAAACCGTGCTAACACATAGCGATGTGCTGGAGGCAATCAATCGAGCCGACCTGAAGCCCATGGTTTCAAATCGTATGAACAAAATAGAGGGCACTCAGGAGAAGGTTTCTTTGTGGGTTTTCGGAGCTTGGGTGAAGGGAGGTTTGAGGGGGATAACAACATTGACGAGACATCATCCCTACCTTACGAAGGTTCTTGTGAAGTACATGAGGGCGAACACATCAACTCCCTTTATGTCGGTTGTGATTTCACGGGATTGCGTGTTTCGACCACATAGAGATCCCAACGATTGCAATCATCAGACTACATTGATTGGCTTAACCAAGCATGCTGGAGGAGAACTTTGGATTGAGGACACAAACGGAACCGAATTGCGCACTGTGTCTCAAAACGAACCTCCGAAGCCAGGAAGCTTGTTTGCTACATCAGGAGGCAAGGTTGTGACGTTCTGGGGCAACAAGCTTCATGGAACAGAACCTTACACAGGATCCCGAGTTGTTCAGATTGCATATGTGCCGCGCAGCTGGGACAAACTGTCCAATGCCGACCTGGCGACGCTTGACGAATTGGGTTTTCGGTTACCTCGTGGTTGTAATCCTAGGGCTAGTTCCTTGACCCCAGGTCCAGCCGGATCACCCGATGACCCTAGTCACCCTAAGCCTGAGTCCCAAGGTCCAGCCGGATCACACGATGATGCTGAAACCTCTAAGCTTGCGCCCCATGGTCCAGCCGGATCACCCGAACCACATAAGGACCCTAGACCTGATTCACTTAGTCTGTCAGGGCAGCCTGATGAAGGAGGCAATCCGGAGCAGTGCGACGCCGATTGGGACGGGGATATTTTCAGGGAGTTCGGTTTGGTTGGGGATGAAATTTCGGAGAATCTAGCTGGAAGCCATGGAGCCTGCGCCGCAGCCGTTTGCCATGGACTTGAAGAATACAAGGCGAAAGGGTTGAAACGGCCACATAGACGTGTTCGCATTGAGGATCTTTCGACTGGAGTCCTCTCGATTGACATTGCAGGACCTTACACAACAGCTCCAGGAGGAGAGCGGTTTGTCTTGATCGGAGCATATCGTTCTAAAGAGAATCAAGTGTTACCATTCGTCCGCTGCTTGAAGCGACGCTTGTGGGAGAATGTTGATGCTGGGATCTCTTCTATCTTGAGTGAGCTGTATGCGATTGTGGGTCATCGAGGGCTAGTTCGGATTCATTCGGACCGGGCGAAGGAGTTCTTAGCGACGAAAGTTGTGCAACACTTGAGTGAAGCTGGGATACATCAGACGACCACGTCGGGACATGATCCGGCGGCGAATGGGCTTGCGGAGAGAATGGTCGGGCTCTTGAAAGAGAAGGTCAGAGAGCATCACGGGAGCTGTGCGGCTATGCTATTGGCCATACTTGTTCTCTGAAGCGGCTAGGTGGATGCGGGATTGCATACTTGGAACATCTTGGCAGGGAGAGCTGCCATATCCTGGTGAGGCGGTGGCTGTGAAGGTCATTGACCCTGCACCTCTGGAGGCTCGGGCTGAACCGGGAGTGTTTCTGGGAAGAGCAGACAATGCAACGCATGGAGCATTCGTACAAGTACAACGGAACAGCAAATCAACAGTTATCTTGACTAGGTTGCCGGCAGTGCTGAAGGAGACAACCAAGCAGTGGCGCACGTTTACTTCAGAGAGTGGTGACTTGATTTGGATTTCTAGCACAGGAGAGGCAAAGCATGCAGAGGCAGTGAGGGACATTGGATTGGACCTGGGACTTATCACGGTGGAGGAAACTCAACGTGGATACAGTCCAGCAGAGGGTTTTCCAGTGGCAGCCGCTTTAGCTTCAAAGACTGGAGGTTCGGACAAGTATACCATTGTGAATGCTGCAGCTGAAGATGAGATGACGGATGCTGAGGAGATGCTTCGAATTCTTGCGGGACAACGGGCATCGGCTGAAATCGTTGACACGAGTGTTTTCTTCAAGGGATCAGAAGCAGATAGGACCAAGTGGTACGAAGCCGCTAAGAAGGAGATGAACACCATGCATGAGCAAGTTGTTTGGCATGAGCTGCGAGAGTCAAAGCTGCGCGAGGACTTGGGGTTGGGACCCAAGGAACAGCTGCCGAAAATTCTTCCGATGAGATTGGTGTTGGCGAAAAAACCAGACCTTGAGGCGGAGGCCGACATCAAGAATGGAGCGACTCTGGGAGCAGCTGTTGCGGAGGCAGCGTTCAAGGCTCGTGTCAGATTGGTGGCATGCGGAAACTTTCAGCCGAATAGCGAAATTGAGGAGTCGGAGATTACGTGTGAAAACTTGAGTCCCGAGACTTTGCGATTGGTGTATGGAAGATTGGCAAATGAGGAAACCTGGGAAGGATTATCCTTGGACATATCAGCTGCCTTCTTAAACAGTTTGTTGCCGAAACATGAGAGAATTCTTCTTCGACCGCCAACAGTGCTTGTGAAACTGGGTTTGGTAGATCCAGATGTGCTGTTCTATGCCAACAAATCCATCTATGGTCTGCGACGGGGACCTCATGATTGGCAGAACGAGCGCACCGAGAAGCTTCACAAGGCTGAGGCGAAGGCAGATGTAACATGTTCGTATGGCACATTGCGACTTGAAGAGCTTGAGGAGTGCAAAGGGCTTTTTATTGTCAGGGACACCAATACTGAGAAAATCACGGGACTTCTGGCTATGTTTGTCGATGATGCTTTCATTTGCGGACCGAGAGAAGTGATCTTGAGGGTGAAGCGATTGATTGCGCAGACATGGAAATGCCAGGTACAAGGGTTTCTTTCACGAAGCTCAGATTCTGAGATTAAGGATGGCGACGAGGTCATCAAGAAAGTCGATGAGATCACATTCTTGGGAACACAGGTCACGCTTGAAAAGGATGGGGTGCATGTTTCCCAACGGAAGTGGCTGATCAGGGAACTTCATCGTCGAGGCTATGTACACCTTAAGGGGAGCGAATCTTTGCCGCAGATTGATGCTACACAGATTCCTTTGATGCCGAAGGACACGAAGGGCTTTGCAGAGCACCTCAAGAAGGCTCAAGGGGAGATTGGATGCCTTCAGTGGTTGGGCTTGAAGACTCGTCCTGACATCCAGGCATGCGTTGGAATATTGGCATCATTGCAGACTTGGAATCCCGAGTGGGTGTATCATGCTACAAAGGGCGTTTGGAGATACTTGAGAGCTACAGTGTGGTCAGAGATGATTCATCATGAAGGAGGATCCTTGGACATCTATGCGGAGTCCGATGCCAGCCTTGGGCCAGCAGGTTCTAGGTCTAGAACGGGGTTGGTTATTAGTGTAGGTCAGAACCTTGTTTTCCGGAAATCGTGTCGGCAGAATCTTACGGCGTATTCGACTTGTGAAGCTGAAACCGATGCATGCGCGACAGCTCTTTTCGAAGCCACTCGTATCGCAGGCTTAATCAAAGCCCTGACCGGACACAGGCCGCGGCTAGTGTTAGCTGGAGACAATGCGGCAGCGATTACTTCGATCACAAGGAATGACTTTAACCCTCTTACGTGGAGAACTCGGCATTACGCTATGAGGTGTGCTTGGGTCAGGGACATGATGCACCGCGGCTACCGCGACGCAGACTTGGCAGAGATTGAATGTTTGTGGAAAGCAGGGGATGACCTGGTGGCGGATGCACTTACCAAGGTCTTGCCAAGGGCCCGCTTAGAGAGACTTCGAAGGCGTTTGGGAGTCTTGACGAGCCGGATGGGCCACTGAGTTTTTTTAAAGTTCTTCAGCGCCGAAGGAATAGTCCAGCGCTGCCGTTCAATCATGTGACACTGGGGTTAAAAGTTCCAGCAGGCCGTTCCTCACGAACAGCTGGAAAGGAGGAGTGTTCTAGGAAACCCCAGATGTCCATGATGCTTTTATATGCTCTCTGATGCCTTGGCTAGGCTGTTGAGCTACGTGTTTGAAGTATCTAATTAATATCTCTTGCGAACCAATTCTTTTATCTACTCTTTGAACACCGCACATGCATACATGACACACGTACGTGTTCGAGTGCTGTGCGGTAGGAGTAGGGAGATGGGCACTGGCCCGAAACAAGAACAGAAAAAGACCTCGAAAAAAGAAAGCGGAAAGGCTACGGGGCAGCCATGTAAAGGTCTAGTGCAAGGGATTTTCACTTCTGTTCGCGTGCATGTTTTTGCAGTCGACATATGCTTGTCTCGAAGGCGCCAAGCATGTCTCAAAGCCACTTACACGACGAAACTGCGATGGCTCAAGAACGACAAAAGGCCACTGACCGAGAGAAGGGTTTTTGGAAGTTCGGGGTTTTCAGGGCATCCCTTCGGTGCGGCTAGGCTCAGCGTGCTGTGCCTACTTACACCTTCTGTGAAGCTCTACTCCCCTTGGAAGCCAGAAGCACTTGAGGACAGTCTGCATTAGATCACGACATTGCAGAGTTCCTTCAGTGCATCAGACAGAAAATCACGACATTGCAGAGTTACTTCAGTGCGCGGGGCGCACTGGCTGGCATTCTGGTTGTAGTGATTCTTTAGGTCGTTTGGTTTCCCTAGTGTTTTCCCGATCCCGGTTTAGGCGGTCCTTATCGTACCCTAAAAGGCTCAAACGTTCAAGCTGTGAAAGCTGGTCGGCGACAACGGTCGCGATCAAAGAACTGAACTACTTAGTATTGCTATGGAGCTATCGCCTGTTCCTACGCATTATTCTGTAGTCACCGATGGAAGCCCATATCAACAACACGATCCCCCGGGATGTGTTGCTTCCAAGACTCTAGGATGCCACAGCAGTCGCTCACGGTGCAGTGGTGCGGTATGTGGCCAGAGATCCCGACGATGCGAATACCATGGGTGCAGATCACTGCACAGTTCGCATTCTGTAGGAGTTTATGGCGATTGTGCTGCATGTCGGCGGTATGGGCGATCCCTGTCCCCCTCCAATCTGTTGCCTGTTTGCCCGTGATCATTTGGATCTCATCGAGCTCGTGAGTGTGCTTGCCTTCGTCCACTATGATCTCTTGGAGAAAGAGCATGAAGGTGCCATGAAAAGGGTGAATTCGTTCTGTTCGAAGATCACGAAGAAGGCGAAGGACTCTGTCAGGAGTGAGGCCCCCTACATTCCACGTGATCACATGCAACTCCCCAGGCTCCGTCTTTGGTTGTTCCCGGGGGTGATACGGTGCTGCTTCCTCGAGTCACTCCAGGGGGCGCCTTAGCTCCCCCCACTTGTCCGATAGGGCACTCAGGCTGGTCCCCATCTGTCTGGCGAGTGTGTTCAACAGGACCCAACCGATGCCAGTCGTCTCTGCTCCGGCTGGTGGCGGTGTCGTAGCCGATGCGATCTTAATGCTGCTGTACCATACGTTGCCAGTGCCGAACTCAACGTCCAGCTTGTTCTTATCCCCCTGCATCTCGAGGATTAAGCGCTTGATTTTCCCGGCAAACCGGGCCCGCTTTCGACGTTCAGGACTCTCGCTCATCGCGGCCCAAAAGTGACGATCCCCGCCTTCGGGGCGTTGCCCCGTGATGACCTTCGACTCGCGGATTTCCTTGAGGGCTTCTCGGATGCGGGCACGGAATTCCCCCTGGCTTTCCCCGGCTCTGGCTGCGACGGGTACTATGGCGAATCCTCTTCTTATCCCCGGGACAAAGGCGTCGTCCATATCGATGTCGATGTGCGCGATGTGCTGCTTCACGAGTCGGAGGGTTTCGCTCGCGCTCTGGTCAGCATCCCATCCCCCCATGATGATGGCGGGGCGTGTGGCATCTTGTCCCCCGGTCTCAGTGGTACGTAGGCTTGTGTTGGTGGTCGTGGAGAAGGTCGCGGTGGCAAACTTCCCCTCCAGCAGTTCTAGGCGTCTGCGCACATCTTCATAGGATTGGTCAACTTTCTTCACCGTATGTTCTATGTCGCAGTGGCGATCTGTCATCGCTCCCAGGAGTTGTGTGGTTCTCTCGACGTGCTGCTCAAAGTTGGTTTCCAGGTTTTCGACTCGTCTGCCGATGCCTTCCAATGACTCGTGGAGAGAGTGGGTGATCTGCCTCTGACTTGTAGGGCTTGTTGAAGGAGAGCCAGTGTCAGAGGTTGTTCCCCCGGGTCCTCGGTTGCTTGAGCTTGTTCCCGCGCTCGCTTCGGAGTAGACCGTTCGGTCGGCTAGCTTCGCTGTTGGTCGCCATGTTGTCGTCGAGGTGGTGGTTTGCGAGGTCGCCGTTCAGCATATAGTACTCGATCGTGACGTACACGTAGTCCCCCGTCCAGTGTAGAGGGACCGAGTCTCCCAGCCTAGATTGGGCGGAGAATCTCTGTGGCCGAGTTGGTCACCTGTAGGCCGCCGATAGCCTTCACGGCGATGTTGGGGTCCTTCCGAAGGTGCAGCGCAAGGCCACCGTACAGGAACAAACTCCCCCAGGTCCCCCGAGACAACTCGGAAGATGGACTCGCAAAGCACAGCAGAGATGTAGGTGAGCTCGCACGCTATGTGTGCTGACGGCGCAACTCACCCTGAGAGCGGTGAGCCCTTGTTTTCAGGCCCTCTCTCAGTAGTTACGTGGCTCGAGCACTCACGGCCTTGAGCCAAAATGGCTACTTTCTCTCTCTCTTTCTTTCGCCAGGGCTATGGCGAAGGGGAAGTTCCCCTACGCCGCGCGCTTTGTGCGCCCCCGACGGTTGCGGGTGGCAAGAAGTTGCATGCAAGCCCTCGTCTCCTGTTGCCCCCTGTGTTCAAGGGCTACTCTAGGCGACTGCACTCTGGGAAAGACAAAGAGCAGGCAAGCCGATATCGAGCATAATGAGGGGTTGCAATCCGGGATAAGGCCAAAATTTCCCAGAGTCATGGGCGATCTAGGTCAGGCTTGCTGTTCCTAAGGTTACAACTCGTGTTAAGTGCAGGGCCCTACAACAAATACGGACAGCAACGCAGAAGTCCTGACCTGAGGCAGCATCGCAGCCTATCGCATTCGATTTGGGGGACGTCCCCACAAGCTCAAGTAGCCTGAGACCTAGCGGAGGACAATTGCCCGGGCACACGAGGGTAACACAAGAACAATAACAAAAACCGTGCAGGTAAATAGGACGCCTCGGGTCAGGACGAGGTTCCCCCCGTCTGCACTCACATTTAGAAACGCTAAACCAAGGTTGGATTACTCAACGACGGCATGCTGACAAAGTTCCTAGCAGTGCGAGGTCCTAGGTAACGAGCTTGGATACCACTCCGATCGGCCCATCAAAAAGGGGTAGCAACAACGAACAGACGCTAACAGGAAACAGACAGGTGCAAGAATCACAGTATTACGGGCCCCTAGGCAAGTCACTATCGGACACAGGGGTAGGTCCCCGGACAGATCGGACAGTTGAGCGCACACTCTCACACCGATGCCGGTTTCAAAAGGTCTTCTGCAGGCGGCTCAGTCTTCGTCGCTACCCTGGTGCTCCTCCTTCTCGGGTGTCCCATAGAAGTATGCATGCATTCTCCGTCTTCGGTGGGAGGAGCTCCGACACAAAGCACTTCCTCGGTTTTGGCCCCTCCCTGCACACGCGGGGGATGAGGGCATAAAAGCCAGTGTTGGTGCGTCCGAGTCTGCTTCCAGTTCCTCCCTGTTGTCCGGGGGAGCATTCCCCGTCTCCATCGTAGTAGTGCTCACCGGCGGCTCCTGCTGGATTTGGTTGTCACTGACCAGCAGAATGGGGTGACCCCATAGAGCAGATGTCCAAGCGAACAGGAAACCATGCGCCTCAGTCAGTAGCGCCGCCAGCTCCTGTTCCGCGAAGGGGATGGCCCTCTCCAAAAGTTGTTGCGCTTGGAGGACTTGGTGGGGCGTGGCTTCTCCAGGTGCTCGGCCGGGTCGTGGTCCAGGTTGTCGAGAAGGATGCCCTTGTGCATGCTGAGGGAGGTCACGTTGAGGTAGTCCAGCCATCCTTGCATTGGTAGAGCTCGGTCGCAACCTTTTTACGGGGTCCGAACTCCCCGATGCCCTCTCTTCATGGCCCATGCTTCTCGGAGGTGATGCTCTGCGCTTAGTCGACTTCGAATCCGTGGGTAACGAGCTCACCGAGGCCGCAAGGAGGGTGTCCACGTAGGTCGCTGTGCGATCGGCAGTCGAAGCCAGGACTTCCATGGCTTCTTGGATCGAAGCAAGTCCCCCTTCCTCCAGGGTGAGATCGAGGTGCGCCAGGTTGGCGGCCATGGTCCGAAGTCCCGCCAGGGCCTCGGCGGTGTCGTAGCGCTGGCGTGTGAGGTCGCGAACATAGCTCCGGGCTGTTGCAATTGCCTCGTCGACCCGGTCCAGGTGGCCATCACGAACATGAACTTGCATGGTGTCGTAGTTCTGTAACAGTTGCCGTAGCAGGACCTGGGCTTCAGCGAGTGGGTTCTCCATAGCCATGGGCAGCGTGTTTTGGATAACGGTTGGCATAGGAGGCGGAGGTAGAGGTGTATCGGCCTGGGCTTGTAGTAGATCTTGAAGGCGGTGTAGGCTGTGGCATGCTCTGTAAGCCAGCGTTGTGACTTCTTCGTTGGGTTGCCGGAAAGATTGTTCGAGGAGCTGGTGCAGGTGGGTTTGCAAGTCGTCGGCTTGGCCTTGAACTGTTCCTGGTGGCGGTGGGGCACGAGGTCGGTCGTCGTGGCTGTCGTTTCCTGGGTTCTCGCCGGGGGCCACTCCCCGCGGGTTGCGGCTTGCTTGAGCTTGCATGAAGGAGCCATGGTCTTCTTCTGCATCCTCGCTGGGCCAACTCGTTTCCGACTCGGATCCTGTAGGGTCCGTGGCCATGGGTTCCCGTCGTTGCACCCGTTGGTGGTGGCTGCGGTTCCCTTGTGCTCGTGTTGAGGGCTGTTGAGGTGGATCGTGACGTTGGCGTTGACGTTGAGGCTGACGTTGAGGTACTGCAGGAGGTCGCCCACCGCGTTCGTGTTGAGGTACCCGGTCGTTGGCACGCCGTCCAGTAGGGTGTCGTCTTTCTGGTGGCGTGGGCGGTCGCGGCGGATCAGGTTGCGGGACAATGGAAAAGCCCCCCAGCTTGTCCACATCTCCAGGAAAACGTGGTCGCCGTGACCAGAGTTGATGTTGGCCTTTCCATTCAAGCCAGAAGCTTTGTCCCGTCACTAGGGGAATCCACCCCTGGTCACCCTGTGCTTGGGCCACTTCATCAACTTCCACAAGCCAGTACCTCGGCGTTCTCGCAAAGCCCAGCTCAAATCTGGTAGTGGCTATCCACGGTCCCACGGGCGTCATAGTCAATCTCGTGCCAGGGGGCAGCGTTCCCCCTTTTTCTTTATGGCCACTGAGCGTGTTGAAGATGACAACCGTCGGCTCTTGGCGGAGGCGCGAAGGGTGCCTGACCTGTTGGCGATCTGCCGGTGTCCACACAACACCTCTCCAGGAACCATCCGCTGCACCTCGCATTGTCAGAATCTGGCGTGCATCGAGTGGTACGGCGGGAGGTAGAGAACTGGGGGGTGCTCCCCAAACCCATGATAAATCCTGAGTGTTTGCACCGGTCCTCAGTGTACTCTGGAGGGTGTCCTGGTCGGTGGCCTGCTCGACTACCCACGTCGGGGCTCTCCCCGCCATTGAGGCTTGTCTTGACCTGTTTTCGAGGTCCTTGATGTCTGCAGGTTCTGGATCTTCTCGAGCTAGTTGAGGCTGAGGTGGATCACGGCTGGAGCCAGCTGTTGCCCCATCGTCTTGCCCTGCCTGCTCTTCATCTCGGAGTGGTGGGGGCTGGTAGAAGAGCGGAGACCCAGGTCGAGTCCCACGGCTTGTAACGGCGCTATGTGTTGAGGCACTTGCTCTCTCTGCGATGATTTCGGCGGTCGTCGGGTGCAACGAAGGCGGTCTGTTGTCCACGATGATGACGGGGTTGCTCCGCAAGCCATCGATCCGCAGCCGTGTTTGCGTACTCCCGTTCAAACTGCGCAGCATGGGTCTCTTTCTGGTAGGAGCTGGTGGGTGTTCGCGGTGGTCTGCTGGAAGAGAGAAAGTGACTGCTCTGTCCTGGCCGCGCGTTGGCCCCGCATGTCCTCGTACTGGTGCCATTGCAGTGTTTTGCGAAGCCGCCGCCGTGGAAGAAGAACTTGCTCCGGCAGCTTGAGGTTGTAGATATGGGTTGGCAGCCAAGCGCTGTTCATGGTCGGCTTCAGCCGAAGACTGAGCCTTACTCCCCTGGGCAGGTTTTTTCGGGCCTCCTGTCGTAGAGCCCTTGACGACATTGCCATCCTTGTCTCTGGTGTAATCCTGCGCGGCGAGCATGGCCTTGATCATCGCATCGTCCTCCAGCCGAATGGTTGGTTGGCGCCAGGGGGGCTTCACCCCTTTCTTGATGTAGGAGAGGGCCTTGCGCCAGCTAAGCCACGGGGGTTTTTCCCCCCAATCCAGTTGCCCCCAGAGCTGCTTCACATCTGACTTTTCGCCCTTGTTCTTGACTCGTTGGCTGCCGTGCCCAGCCTTTCTTTTTCGGGGGGCTCCCCGCGCCATTGGTTGCGAAGAAGAACTTGGCACCTCTTCTTGTGCATCGTCCGGGCTGTCGCTTTCCAGACTGGAGCTGCTAGAGGAAGTACATGTATCGTCCTCGGCCTCGTCCTCCTCGTTGTCCATCACCACATTCCTTTGGGACTGTTCCACCTGTGCTGGTTGAGCGGCTTGAGGTGATTCCGGAGAGGTCGGCAACTGGAGGTCGGGCTCAGTAGGCGACGGTAGCCATCCTGGATCATAACCCGCAGGTGGTGGTAAATCTTGTTCTGGATCTGGAGGGGGTGGCAGCACGAAGTCGTCCCCCAGGGCATCGCGAGAGGATGCCGTAGTCGAAGCCTCACCGTCAGTTGTCTCGCCATCGAACCCCGCAATGTATGGTTGCCTGACTCTGTCAAGGCCCAGGGGATTGTCCCGCCATAGGTGTGGTGGTAGCAAAGGCCCCACCCCGGCATAGCGAAATGCCAAGGTCGTCCATCCGTCAAAGGGAGGAGGAGGACGATCAGAATCGAAAGGGTAGGGCGGGGCTTCTTGTTGAGGGGCTGCCGGTTGTAGTGGCTGTGGTTGCTGTTGTTGCGAAGAAGTCATTGCCTGGGTCTCCCCAGACTGGTGTGGCCATGGATCGGTTGGGGCGCCCATTTCCTCAGCGGTAAGGTAGCCATCTTCATGCCAGGGATCGGCTGCAGCGTGATATGGTGGCGCAAAGCCACGGGCAAAACCATGTCGTAAAGCGTGTGTTGGTGGTTGCGGTGCATCAGGTTGAAGAGCATGTAAGGTGGCTTGGTTGGCTCTCTGTTCAGCTTCCCGGAGAGAGTCCGGGACCTGGGCCATCTGAGTGGAGGCATCCAGGGTGGTCACCGAAGAGGAGGGCGGCCAAGCGTTTGAAGAAGTAGTCAGAGGAACTGTAGAGGAGGTAGCTGCGCTGAAAACAGGTGGTTGAGGTTGCACGTTCTGGGTATGATGTAGTCCCCGATGGGCATCTGGTGAACTGGTAGAACTCGCCGAGGTTGCTTGAGCAATGTTCGAGGGTTCTCCCCCCCTTTGTTGAGGTAGCGCTGAATCAAGCTGAAGGTCTCGACTGGTTCACGTAGAGGTGGCGAAGAGGTAACGCTGGGACCCCTGGGTCGAGTTGGTATCCCGGATGTAGTGAGCCGAGGGGGGCCTGCTGTCGAGGGGAGGTCCCCTATCCCATTTGAGTCGCTTTTGTGACGACGATCATGCCGATGTGCTTGCGGTTCGGGAAGTACTGGCGGATCACCTTCTCGATGTACCGGCATGTCGGCAACCTCCTGGAAGTCGGCGATCGCTGGATCCGGGAGCTCCACGGGGTCATCGTCGGTTGTGAGCTGCTGCTGTGCCAAAGCAGTCGTGGGAATGTTAGCTGCAGGTGGCGCCTCAAACAAGTCTTCAGGCGGTGCAAGTGGCATTGTGGAGCTATCGACAGAGTCTGTATCCGAGGCCAATCCGTCGTCATGCGGCAATTTCGCACCTGAAGTTGCATAGGCGCACGCAGCAGCAAGGGCCAGTCCTCTGAGCAGGGGGTTGCCTCGGTTCGCAAAGCCTGGCATGGCAGATCACACGTGGACCAGGGCCGCGCGTGGGCTTAGTCACAGGCTTGAGATCTGGAAGCCGAGGCCACCGCACATAGGTACATGCGACGACTGGACGCCCCTAATGCATCACAGCAGGAAAGAGTGTCAGGCATGGCGCTGAACATGTGCAACACACTGCAAGCAAGGACATGCGCGGTGTACATGGTGCTTGTGGGTGCATTCTCTCGCTTGGCTTCTTTCTGGAACTGCATGCAACACAGGAGTCTGCAACTGACCAGGTCTGGGGTCCTACCGAAGGCGCTGGACTATCCTGTTGGGCAGTCATCCGTCCATGAGCGCAGGCTGGTGACCACGCCAGATGATCCTACGGGGTTCACCCCGGATAGCAGGGACAGCGTTGCGACGCCTGTTGCCTCGGCCGGGCCTTCTGTTCGGGGCTAGGTTCGGGGCTCCTGGCAGACACAGTTGGTTACCCGAGGCCCAGGGTGGGTCATTATCTAAAACAAAGGCAGCGCACAGGTGCTGCCACAAGGGTCTGTCCGATGCCGGGATCCACCATTGTGGGCCGGCTGTGGCCACAATCTGTCTTTCCGGGTCACGCTGGGGGTTATGATGGCCTATGTGCCTAACCCCTAAAGGAGCGGGTCCGGGTCGAATGGCTTGTTGGTCCCTCCACCATGTCAAATCTCTCCAGCGCATGATATGGAAGGTTGGCTCAAAAACTGCACGCCCTACATGTCCCCACAGGTTCCACTGCATGGCAAGGGCATGGGTGGACCAGCGGATGATCTTGTGTTTGTGCAGAAAGGCTCTAGCACGTCGCATAGTGCGAATATGCCATTCATGCCAGCTTTCTGTTGGGGTGCGCTCCCCACCGACTATGGACCTGACCTGAAGCAACTGTGCGCTATTGGCCGCTTGGAGAAGTGAGGCCTGTATCGGCCAAGCGGGGCATCCCCACAGTGCGGCGCTTCGCACTAGGGTTTGGTGCATCTGCAGTCGATCTTTGAGTGGTGCCCGGGAGCAAAGCACCGATTTGTGCGCGTGAAAGGCTTTACGTGCTCGGGCCTGCATTTCAGCAACAATCGGGGCAACGTCCCCGGCCATGGTGACAGGGGCACCTAGAATCGTCATGATGGTCTCAAGGTCAGTGAGGACCGCTTGGACGTATTCTGGGGACTCTCCCCATACATATGTGTCATCCATGAATGCGGCTCCAGAGTGCGGAGGAGGGCACAGGTGATCATGGCGGCCAACCTGGGGGGGCTGCCCCCCGTTAACTACTCCTAGAGTGGCATCCAGCGTTTCCCCGATGGCTGCGGCAAAAAGCACTGGGCTGTCTGGACTGCCTTGCCTGACGCCGTTAGTTTGGTCAATCGTGACTTTATGCCTCTGGACCCAGAAATTTAGCTCACGTGCTTCAAGGAGGCGTAGCCACAAGCGGGCTTCCCAGGGGCGGCCGCCCCTAGCGATGCGGCGCATCACAAGGTCCCCTAATTTCTCCTGAGCGACACTGTCAAAAGCTTTGGCTATGTCGATTTTCACTATGTAGAAGGGGGTGTTCCATTCGTGGGCGACTCTTGCCAGTTTTCGCAAGGAAAGAATCAACTCGACTCCTTGCTTGTTGCGACTGGCCCACTGGTGCTGGCAACACTGCTGCAACAGGGGAACTCCCCTAAGAAGCAAAAGCTGAGACATCCATTTAAGGATGGCACTCGACAGCGTGATTGGTCTAGTTTCGGACCACGACGCGGGTCTAACGGTTTTGGGCAAAAGGACGGAGGCGCCCGACATGACCCAAGGGGGCAACTCCCCTTTGTACAATCCATCGTTGATCATTTCTACAATCTTTGGCCTCCAGGAGTCGTGGTCGAACATAAGGCGCAAGGCTTCAAGGGCTACTCCGTCCGGTCCCGTGGCCTTGTGGTTTTTCCACTTCGCCATTGTGATGCGCATCTCAGCTTCGCTGAAAGGGACCCATGGGGTATGCTTGCACATGCGGGCAGCCTCATCCCGCATAAGCTGCATGGCTTGGCGAGTGCTTTCTGCATCTTGTTTGCAGAAAATCCCTGACATATGCATGCTAAGCTTCTCGCTCCACTCGGGGTCATCGAGAAGCTGTTCGGCCCAGTTGGTGCGGGAATTGCGAAGCTTGACCGATCGGAAGGCATTCCAGTCCTGGGCTCCAGCTTTGTTGGCGAGTTCAGCTTTCCACGATCTGCGCTCCTGTTGCAAGCGCCGGGCAATGGCTTTCCAGGCATCTCGGCAAGCTTGCCCCGGGGGGGTGCTCCGGGCGGCTTTGCGCATCTCTTTAAGGGTCTTACTCTCTTTAAATTTGTTGGATCGGAGGGACGGTTCGGTGATGGTTCGGGCCATATCTGCAACCGCCATAAAGCGGTCGGCAAACTTGGGCGGCAAGGCATCTAGGGTATTTATGCAGTCCCCCCGCAGCTGTCTGGCGCACCAAACTACTTCCGACTTTGGCTGGGAAGGTGCAGCTAGGGTGGCCGATGCAAGGATGGGCTCGTGATCCGAGCAAGCTCTGTCACGGAATTGCCCAACGAAAGCTGTCGCAACAGGAAGGTGTCTGGCCGCGAGATAATCTAGCCTCCTCGGTGCCAGGGCAGGATTGTACGGGAAATGGCTTGGAAGGTGCATGTCTTGAATGGGCAGGCGTATATCCCTCTCAAGCAACCATTGGAGGATTTGCTCCCCTCTGCCTGAACACGATAGGGTGCTGTCCCCTAGCAAATCACCAGGTTGCAAGAAGGTCTCATTGGCGTCAAACCCAAGGAGGAGCTTAGGGTGCCTAAGGGAGGGGAGGCTCTCCCAACTTTGCAGTGCTGCAGCTGTCTGTTCAATGGTGAACTTATGCGAAATGTGTCCCGAAAGAAGGCCCAAATTCTTGGAGTTGTGCAGGCGTAGGGTGGTACCGATACATGCAGTAGCGAGGCACGTGGCACGATGTGTGCCCAGCGTTTTTCGGAAGGCAATGCCACAGCCTCTCCACTCAGAACTCTGTTTTCCATGCAAAAGGTTCCAAGTCTCGTTGCTGTCGAAACTCGGTGGTCCCTCCTTAGTAATAATCTCTTGGAGAAAAACAATCTGGAGGACGTTCAGTGCTGGCGTACCTTGGAAGCCCATAAGCAAATCCAGAACTCTGTCCGGGTTCAAACCCCCGAGGTTCCAAGTCGCAAAATGCAAGGTGACTCCATCTTGTCGAGGGAGCCTATCAGGCCTGTGAGACGGTGGGGGCGAGTCCCCAATGTCCTCAGCAAAGGATCGGTCTAATCAGCGGAGAGCTGCCAGGAGCGGCTCCCATGCCTTCTCGACGGTGTCCCGGTCCACATTGAGTTTGGTGGCTATGGTGGTGATATCGATCCACCCACATCCTGCTGACGATGAGCCTTGCGGTGCCGGGGAACTCCCCGAAGAGACCTTCGCATTCTTGAACCACACGGTGCCCGTCGCCCATTCGGGCTCGATTCGGTTCATGATCGCAGGGCCGCCCACTTCAATCAGTAGGCGTTTGATCTTACCAGCCAAAGCAGCACGGCGTCTGCGCTCGGGCGGCTGGCTAACCGTCAACCACAGCTTTGCCGGGTTGCCGTCGGGCTTGCGCCCGAGTGTGATGTTCGCTGAATTGACTCTGCGGATGCAAGCCTGAACTCTCTGGCGCATTGCATCATCTGGCTCACCTGGATCTGCTGCGATCGGGATCAAGACAAAGCCTCTACGTACTCCAGGCACGAAAGCATCGGCAAGGTTGAGCTGTAGTTGGAGATCACGTGCCATCTCATTCGCCTTCTGCAAGACCTCGCTTGCAAGGGTTTCCGGGGGCCATCCCCCCATGACAAGGGCAGGAACACGGCCTGCATCAGTGGTGGAAGCAGCACTGCCTGCGGTCTGGAGGTCCTTCACTCTTCTCTCTCTCTCTCTCTCTCTCTCTCTCTCTCTCTCTCTCTCTCTCTCTCTCTCTCTCTCTCTCTCTCTCTCTCTCTCTCTCTCTCTTGCTTGCTTGCAAGGCGTTTGGGAGGTGGGGCTCGGGTCCCCACTCTCGTCGTCTGTTGCTCCTTCCGTCGAGGCCGGGTCCCCATCCGATGAGGTAGGTCTCTCTTCACTTCACTTCACCAGGGTCAAGCTCCGAAGAGCCCGCGCCGGAGCGCCCCCTTTCCCCCATCTTCGGTGGAAAAGGGCTTTGGGGCAGCAGCGCTTGGGGTTTTGCCCCCCGTGGTCGTTGCAACTTGTGGTGATCGCCTGTCGGTAAACCTCCCTGACCCTGTACGTTATCGCGCCTCCCGGCCTCTTCACCGCGCTCTCTGTAGCACTATCCTAAGTCCCTGCGACAGGCGATTCCCCCCAAGTAGTACCTATGGCAGGCAGCACTTCCCCGGTACAACACGCAACAACAGCTAAGTCCAGTACGTTTTTGGGAAGTGCATTGGGGTACACTGTGCAGACAGCTTGCAGGAGATAAAGGACGTTCCCCCCATTGTGCCTTGCCTAGTTTAGTACTCTACAGTGTGTGAGGTTGGGAGGCTTTGTTGCACAACAGCTTGCAGAATAGGAGTCCATAGGTCAAGAAGAAAGAGGATTAGTTAGTTTTCTCCCCCTCGTGTTGGTACCTACCCTGCAGGGTTGTGAAGCAGTCCCAGGGTGGTCACTACTAGAATTAACATTATGCTCCCTGCAGGGTGTGGCTATTGTAGCAGCTGGGCTTTTGTGAAGCGGATGTTTCCCCCTTCAGCTGGGCCCCTGTCTGTCATGGAATGCTGCTAGCATCCGTCTACGCCTGTGTTCTTCTGGGCTGGGGTTAGAGTCAACTTCCCCCTCACTTTGGCTCACTTCTGTAGTCGTCGGTTGTAGTACCGTCCCCACTGGCACCGCGGTTGGTGGGCTCCAGGGCATAGTACTTGACTGACTGTTCGGCAGTTCCCCCGGTAGCGGTAAGGTGGGGAGCATTTCAACCTCGTTCAGGTCCGCCAGAAAGCTATCTGTCTCCAGGGCTGCTATCTCCTCCTCGTTGACGCCGGTGAGGCCAAACCATTTTCTTTTGGGCTTTTTTGCCCCCCGTCCACACTCCTCGTCCTTGTCGTGGTTCTCCCCCTCGTCTTCCGTGGCGGCTGCCGGTGTTTGGGTCTCTTCATTGACCGTTCCCCCGAAGAGCGACTGTTGCCAGTTTTCCAGGGCGTGCAGGACGGCGAGCACGGGCGCCAGGTCTCCATCCCCCATGAAGGCTGCTGCTTCACGGAGTTCGGCTGCTGCTTCGAGGAGGCGCATCGTCGACGACATAGTGGTACTGGTTCGGGAAGTCCATTCCTTGCTTCCCCTCTCCAGGTTGATCACGTCTGCCGGGTGTGTCTCCCCCGGCTTGTCTGTCTTCTCCAGCAGGAGCGTGGCTGGCGCCAGGAGCGTGTCCCATTACTGGAGGTCGCTCCAGTTTTGGTCTCCCCCCAAGCCCCCCAAGGTGCGGAGGATGACCCCGTCGAGCATGTCGTACGCCTTCTGTAGTCTCGTCTGAGCGCGGTCGAGGGCATGGCTATCGAGGCCTGCTTTCTCCTCCTTCAGTTCACTTTTCCCTTGCTCCACCATGCTGCGGAGGACACTTATGTCTGTGGCGAACTCTTCTGCAGTGAGTCTGTCCCCCCTTCGAACTCTCATGCTTGTGGCGCTTCTGTATGCTTCCCCCACTGCTGAGGGTAGCGCGAGGTTGCGCGCTATGCTGGCTGTGGCACTGCTCTCGCTGATCATTCTGAGCGCGTTGGCACAGATGTTGGCTATGACTATGCTCTCTGCCCCCTGCATGTTGGCTGCCACTTCGTGTATGAGTTGTATCTGTGCCATGGTTGCTTGGATGCCCCCCCGCAGTGCTGCGACTGTGCTTGCAAGTGCCGGTGTATCTGCGGAGCTGCTTGCTGCTTGTTGTGGTGGTGGTGGCGGTGGCCGTTGTGGTTGTTTGGGTCTGCTTCGGCTGCGGCTGCGACTTTTGCCCATATGGCTTTTGTCTCTCCTTCGTCTGCGGGTAAGTCCCGTATTTTCCTCGTCGGTTGTGCTGCCTGCTAGTTCGCTGGAGTTGATGGGACAGTGGTTGGGAGTAGTGCTGGTTGAGGTAGTCGTGGTGGTGGTGCGCGGTGGTCGTTGCCAGAGTTCGGTGTTGTCTTGTTCGTGGTGGTGCTGGTTGCCCCCAATTCCTCTGGTATCTCTGATGACTTCGAAGAAGTGGCGTTGTGGAGGTTGGGGTGGATCCTCTCTAGCTTGCCCTCTGAGGGTTCTGCTGTCTCGGAAGTCTGGGTGTGTTGGTTGCTGTGCTTTGGGCATTGCTTGGTGTGTGTTTGGCGTGGCTTTGGCTGTGGCTGTGGTGTTTGTCGGTTGGCTGGAGCTGCTGCCACGTGTTGCGCCGGCTTGTTGGTTGTTGGGTACGGCTGTGCCTCTGGGTCCTCCCCCGCTGCTGCTTTGGGCCGTGGTGGGTGTGGCTTTGGCAATGGCTCCCCCTCTGCCCTGGCTTGTTGTCTGTGGTTGGTGTGGGTGTTGGGTGAGTGGTGGGTCTGTCGACCCCGTGGCTGTTGATGCTGCTTTCATGGGAGTTCCGGGGTTTGTGTTATCCCCGACTGCACGGCCTTTGTCTTTGGGTGGTGGCCGGTAACCTCTGGGTGGTGGGTGGCGGGGTCCCCCCGCGGGTCTGATCATCCAGACTTCGTGGATCTGCTCCAGCATGTAGGCAGCCCCCGGTTCAGTAATTAGTGTCCCCCCCTCTTGTCGGTGTTGTGTTGGCACGCTTAGGATGGTGATGAGGTATGCGTGTCCCATGGTTGTCTCCACCTCTAGGATGGTTCCGTCCCCGAAGGGCGGTGCGGTCCAAAGCTCTTGGCCGCTGGGGAGCATTCCCCGCTGGGGTTCGTCCTTGGGTTTGGTTGGGTCGGCTCCCCCCGGTCTGGCTTCCACCCGCGCGACCCACTTGCCTCTCCCCGCTGCGACCCACAACATGTCGGTCCTGGCTTTGTGTGGTAACTGTGGTGGGCCTCGGCGTTTGATGTAGCTCTCTCGATTGGCCTGGTCATCGAGGTGTTGGAAGTGGGCTGCCGCCCCCTCTGGTGTGACTCCCCCTTGCGGCGGTGCTTGCTCCCCCCAAGTGTTGGGCTGGTGTTCATGGTCTTCTCGTTGTGGTTGTGGCGGTTGTTGTCGGGGTGGCTCTGTTGCTCTGTTGGTGGTGGCCTCGTGTGCTGCAGGTATGGGTTTTGTCGTAGTCGCTCCTCGTGGTCTGCCGCTGCTTGGCTGTCCCGCTTGCTGTTGCCCGCTGACGTGGTTTGGGCGTGGTTGGTCTGTGGTGGGCTGTGTGGCTGTGGTCTGTGGTCAGTTGTTGCTGTGGCCGTGGCTGTTGTAGATCCTGAGTGGGATGGCTGTTGGTCTGCTTGTGGTGTGTGATGTGTCTGGTCGGTGGGTATGGTTGGTGTAGGTGTTGGTCGTGGGAGCAGGTGGCGGTTGAGCATCTCTGCGAGTCTTGCCGACTCTTCTGGTGACACGTAGGGTCTGCGGGGTCTGCTCGTGGGGTCTGCTGTTGTTTGTTGTTGTTGAGGTGGTCTTGCATTTGAGGCTCTCCCCCTGGGTCCTTGTGAGCTGCGCCTTGTGCTGGTGTCGTTCCACTCCCACTTGAAGCCATGCCTGCGGAGCCAGGCTTTGAGGGCTGCTTTTTCCCTCTTGTTTCGGGTGCGTTGTTCGCCCCCGCCCTCATGTTTGCTTTGGCTCGCTCGTGCTGGTGTGCGGCGTCTTGCCTGTGGGTCGTTGGTGGGCTCTGCTTCCTCATCCTCTGCGAATCTATCGCCCAAGTCGTCTGGGATTTGTCCCGTGGTGGCATAGAGGTATGCTTCTCGGACGGTGAGTCCGGGAGGTACGTCTCCTCCTCTTGCATCTGTGGTGTCAGCTGTGGGGCTGCTGTCGTGTTCGGTGGTATTGCTTGGCAGCTGTGGTGGTCGTGGTTTGGGTTGGGGTGACTGCTGTGCCTGAGCTTGGCTTGGTTGTCCTGCTTGAACTTGTGGTGCCGTGTGTGGGGGTGTTCCCCCTGTGGTTGTGGAGTGCGGTTGTGATGCCTCCGGCTGGGTTTGTGGCGGAGCTTACTGTCGTGGCTGTTGTGCTGGTGGTGCATCCTCTGGGGCTACTGCCCGCTCACGCCGCAAGCAGCAATGCAATCAGGAGGGACTGGACATCCCCAGATACACTTCCCACCACCAGCTTACCAGATCCAACAACAACCACAACAAGCATCCCTCCCACCACCGCAACACCACTACCTTTCGCCACAACCCACAACTCAAGAGGCATACCACGGGGGACGCCCCCAACAACACTCTCAGCAACTACAACAAGCGCCACTCTACCAACACCAAACACCACAGCCACCACTCCACCCTCAAAGAGCAACAGCAGCAATGGCCGCAACAGCATGCCCGACACAACCACCATGGGCAACAGCAGGGCACCAGAACCATGGAGGACTGCACAGAGTCCGGTACCCACCTGCATACGACCCCAACACCGACCCATGGAATGACCCAGACGACGGCTCAGCCGCAACACCCGACAACACACAGCCACAACCACTACCAACACAGACTCTGGGCACACAACCAGGACCACAAGCCCACACAGCTGCAGCTGAGTCCACTTCCCACCACCAACCATGGAGCGACACATCCACCGCAGCAACGGATACACCACCAGTCGCACCACCGACGCCTCGAGATCAACAAGACACTGGAGCCCCGCCACAACAAGCTGAATACCAAACCAGCGACAGCTACCAAACACAGCCACAACCAGCCCACGTCACCGACACAACAACACACGACACCATGGCACAACACGCAGTCCCCATCGCGGCGGCAGAGGTACCACACAACTGCGGCCCCAACACACAGCACACTGAGCCACAAGCCGGCCGCACACCTGTTGCCCCAGAAGGCCGAGCAGACCAGAGCCGCACAACAAACACACAAAGCAGGACGGCAGCCGAAGCAGTGGCGGTCGATGACCCAGTGGATAACACAGCCCAAGCAGACGCGGGGGACGATGGCCAGGCGCAGGGGGAGGAAACACAGAGCGACTCCGAGGCGGATGACCCGGACAGACCACGCCCAAACGCGGGGCATGGAAGCCAAAGAATTCAAAACAAAGCCGCCAAATACGTCTGGAAGCAGACTAACAGAGACGCTCCCCACCCACATCCACGCCCACCACCTCAGGACCAACATGGGCCAGGGTGGGGCATAGTTTACAGAGAACAGCTGCAGCAGCAGCAACAGCAACACCAAGACCGACAGCACGCAGCCGGGGAAAGGCCCAACAGCAGGCCACGCCAAAGCAGCACGCAACCCAGCCGAAGCAGCACAACTCACCACGACGACAACACGAACTGGGCGGACCTGCTCAACCGCCACACGCTCCCGTGGGGTACCTACGGTGCCCCCAGACCGGACCCCAACCCAGCAAGCACACCGCTGGACCCGCCAGAACACACCACGACAGACCAGCACCAACAGCAAGAGCAACAACCACCACCGACGGAAGCATGGCAACTCTGGACAGCTGAAGTACACCAGACACCAATCACACAGCAAGCCAACACACATGCACAAGAAGCGGACCCGCCACCACAGCAGCAACAACCACCCACAACACACCCAACACAGCCAGATCCACAAACAGACCCTGACCACAGAACCGAACCACACCACAGAAGCCCAGCTACAACAAGAGTGGGCAGATGCCCAACCACCACTATACCTCGGCATCATCCCACCCGACCTGCCACTCCAAGGCCACACACACGCCAATATCGTGCAAGGACCAGGCGGGGGATGGATAGTCTCGATCCTCAACAACGATGGTGAACAACCGTCTATCCAGACCCTATCAAGTGGACTACCGAGGGTGGTCCGTGAAGGACAGGAGGGCACAGCAACCAGTGCACCACCGCTAACAGCCGGCATCGTAGCCACCTTCACCCCTCTCAGCGACACACACTGGGTGTTGGAAGTCACGGAGTCCCCCACACCGGGCAACCACGTGCCGGGGACTATGCTTCTCACAGCCGGAGACCGACTTTTGTTTGAAGAGGTCGACAACGAATGGGTCATCAGGATCGAAGCCCTGGCAGCTGAGCCACCAGCAGACATCCGTCGACTGCGCCAGGCCACCACCGTCGCACAAAAAGCGGGTGGACGGGGGAAGGCCACACCAAAGCAACCACCGGCGCCGCCCATGCAGACCATACACGAGCCAGAAGCGGGGGACGACCAACCAGGCGACACAGGGGCGAGCTCCTCCCACGAAGCACCCCGGTCCTACTACCCGCCACCCGTCCCTCGACAGGACACCCCGGCGACCCCCACCGACAGCAACGACCCAACAAGCAAAGCAGCAACCGCTGCCCAGCGACCGGCCTTCGTGGATAGACGAGAGCTGCGCCGTAACCAACCAGACCGCCTCCCTCCGCCACCTCACACCTGACACAGACAGGCCACCATACACACCACTGGCAGCACAGTTCCACGACGGTCGAAGCATCGGCCCCAAGAAAAGCCACGACCGACGTACTGACAAGGACAACACTGACAACACACATGACGACGAGCACAGCAGCCTGATGCAAAAAAGCATCTTCTCAGCCCCGATGCCCACTGCTGACAGTGACGAAAAGAAGAACGATGCAGCACCACGAACACCGTCACCACCTCCACCACTAGAGACACAGCCACAGCCAACCACACAGGGCGACCTCAGCATGGAGAACAATACCCCGACAGGGAACCGAGGCCCAGGAGCAGCAACCATGCCCCAAGCTCACCAGCAAACAGAACAAGCAGAAGCCCCAGCACAAGACCGCGAACATTCTTGGCAACGGGTCGAGCGACACCTGGAAGAGATCCGCAGAATCATACAGACGCAAGGAGGAGCAGCAGCAGATGCAATTAGGCAGAATGCCGACATGGCACTCATGCATCTGCTAGTAGACACACCGACAGCAGAAGAGCTCGCGGCAACCCAGGACTACCAACACAACCACCACCAACCAGCGGGGGGATCAACTCAACATCCACAACAAGCCAAACGACCACAAGCCAGCACCCCTCGCGTCTCTACATCCACAGCTCCAGGCTCACCACACACAGAAGCAGTCAGAGCTGTTCGCAGTCTACTTAACATAGCGCGCCAACAGATGTCTCTCGGGGGAGCATGCTTGAGCTATGGACACCTAGAGCCACATGTAGCCGCTCTCATGCAATGGTTCTCCGTGCTGCCAATGGGGGACATAGCAGTCCGCATCCACTGCGAAAGACGCTCAACAGGACTGGGCGCAGCTGATTGCCGTAACAGAGGCGATCGACTCACTGCTGCAAGGGGGAACGCTCGCGCACCCGGCTAACGTAGTGGCGATGGCGTCTGGCAGTCATGAGTCGAACCTGGTGGAAAGACCTGCCGGGCTCGAAGACTGGGAGCATGCTGTCCTCCAACTGCAAGAGTGGACCCGGGGGGTGAGCTCATGGCCGACTGCACGACTATACCGCAGGTACAGGAGGCCGCTATGCAGTTGCTACGGGGGATATCCAGCCAAATCCCCGCAGAGCAACATGGCATCCCGGACACGGGGGAAGGCTGGTGGCGCTTTGATAGGCACCATGGCTTGGGGGACATGGCGATGTTCCATGGTTGGACCCCCGAAAGCGCAAGCAGCCCTCGGGGACGGGGAACTCGAAGACAACGAAGCCCAAGCGAAAGCTCGGACGCCAGCCTCCGAAGAAGACGGCTGATGGCGGCACACGCGCACGACGCCAACTGAGAGTGCTGACGCCGTAGTGACTCTGACCGGGGAACATGGGGGGATCTCTTCCGACTGAACCTTGTGTTTTGGTCTAGCTGTGTAGCCTCGTTGCGTCACCTTAGGTTCTTGTATGCTGCATGCTACCAAGATCCAAGATCCCCAGCTCCGCTCTACCTCGAAAACCGAACCATGTAGCACCACGAAGTGGGATGTGGAGCATCCCCTCATTCACAAGTGCAGTTCATGTGAACCTTCAACCTATGATACCTCTTTGCAAGTTGTTGCTGTTGCTATGTCTTGTAGTATGATCCTGCAGGCTGTTGTTTTGTCATGTATGAAAGCTGCACGGGACAGTAGCGACCTACGGCTAACCCGGGGAGAGCAAGGTTCCTTCTTCACTCAGACACTGGGCCCTTTCATTATATTCGGTAACTAAAGCTCAACCCGAGGCTACCGGCGAAACACACGCCAAAGACGATACCCCCAAGAAGTTGCTTGTGATCACTCCCTAATACCTTAACCTGCTGATCGTTTGTGTGGGTCAGACAGCTGGGGGATTGTCAGTAGCCGTAGCAAACCTCATGCTTAGCCACCGGTCGAATGGGGAACATGATATCTTACTGCATTCCTTATACAACCCTGTGTTGTCCCGCTTTGTTTTTCGCAACATCCCCAGACCGAGCAAGCAGAACTGATGATGGTCTGTAGTCCAGGTACCTGGGGGATCTAACATAATGCGGTAGAAATTGTACATTTGCACTTATTTGGACTACAAAACGATCCACCAGGGGGATATACAACCACGAAACCTTTTCACACTCCTCCAAAGTCCCCACAAAATATGGGGGGGCCCTAGTGGCCGAGGGGTCTTAACAGCCCCTCATGCCCGGCGGAAGAAGAAAGAGAGAGAGAGAGAGAGAGAGAGAGAGAGAGAGAGAGAGAGCGAGAGAGAAAGAGAGAGAGAGAGAGAGCGAGTGCTCGCCTGCCTGCTCCTCGGAGCGGGTCGCCTTTCGGCCGGCCCCTCGAGACCACAGAGGGTTATCTCTGTGGGCTTGGGGGGTGGACGTGCCGAGGGCGGGGGGTGGCTTGAGGCCATTCGCCGTAACATGTCGGGCTCTCAAGTGCCCAAGGGGTCGCGAAGACCTCTCCTGAAACCGGCCCTCTTCGGAGGTGGCCCGGTAGTAGGGAGGGGCAACATGCCACTTGATGGAGGAACTCAGAGTGAAGACGCGACACCAGGGGGAGAACCACATCGTTCAAAAGGGCAACAGCGAGATCAAGCTGCTCGACCACTTCTCCCTCGCAGGCGACCTCAACTAGACGCTGAATAGGGACCAGACTGGGCGGGGGACACGAAGCCCGGCATGAACGTGATAGTGGCAGGGACACCGAGAAGGCAAAGGACACCCGTGGCCGACGACGACCCAGACACAGCTGCAGCACCTCGAAAGCACAGGACACCAAGTGCCAACGACGACCCAGGACCAAAGGACGACGACACAGCGGCAGCACCTCGAAGGCACAGGTGAGAGAAGTGAGCGCCGACTACAAAGGCGAGGCACCAGTGGCTACAAGTTTTGGGACATATGTCTGATGTACACCCGTGCAACTCCCCGGGACACCCGGATCCGTGAACAACACCTCTGCCGCCGGTGGAAAAAAGTGAACGCGACACTCTGAAGCCACCTAACTTACCTTTTACTTTGTGTTGAGGGGCACCCGCTCATTTCCATGAACTCTAGAATGGTGTGCCAACAGCTTGCATAAGACTTGCATGGCCGTTAATTCAAGCACGTTTTTCCCCTCGTACACACAGCCTTTTACATTGATTCTTAACAGTGCCGGTGCGAGCAAACAAACACCCCATACGGGGAACACAGTTTCGGAGCACCCTTTGCTATGTAAAGCCGAGCCCATCCAAACAAAATGTTGGATGGGGTAGCGCTAACGCGCGGGGCGGGAGGACTGCTCTCGCCCCACACCCCTAGCAAAGCAAAGAGAGAGCGAGAGAGAGAGAGAGAAAGAAACAAGAGAGAGAGAGAGAGCGAGAGAGCTAGTCGAGTCTCTAGCTGACGTTTCGTTGTGCATGAGGCCTCAAGAGTGGAACCCCAACACGTATCACGACGGTCCTGCGAGTAGCCACATGCCACGGGGGAGAACACACAGGTCCTTGGTTTCACGGCAGAGCCACAGTAGTTTTAGGCCCCGTGGCATGAAGCTCGGCCCCCAACCATAGGGGACAGTAACGCAGGGAAAGGCATAGGGGGAGAGAAGCCACCCCAGCACAGCTACTTTTTGCCAACCCGAAAAGGGGGGGACCTTCGGTCACAGGGGAACACCGTATTGTGATGTAGTTTCAACTGGTCTCATTGTCAGCAGTGTTGCCCTGAACCGCCACATGTGCCGCACGGTAAAGCATGCACCAAAGCAAGCCCCACGGAACGGGTTGTAATGTTGGCTAGCCACAGGGGCGCGGGGATGAGGCCGGGACGCGGGGGGTTCTAGCGTACAGGGTGGGGCTTGCTGCATGACAACCAAGGGCACACAAGGTAGATAGTAACCACACTCAGGAGTAACCCCAAGGCCGGCCACTCTCTAACACAGTGGGTAAGCCGGGCGGGCCGAAGGCCTGAGGGTCGCTGGACGACCCCTACGCCCTGCAGAAAGAAAGAAAGCGAGAAAGAGACAGATTTTGTATGGTGTTTGTTTGCATTGGCTTCAGATAGGCAGGTCAAGGTAGGAAATGCTAAGTTGAGCTCGTGTGTGGTGTTTGCGTCTCACGTTTTGTTTTGCTCTGCTGGTGCAGGACGAGGAGATCGCGATGCTCCAGCATGCTATCCAGCACCTCCGTGAAAGGTGGGGCCTGTCAAGCATTGGGAAAAGAAACATCACACCTGTCGCCCTATGTCGCCCTTCATGCCAGCCAGATACCAGATGGTTTTGAAGTGACCTCATGAAGAGAGAAGGTGTCGCAATCGCTAGGACGGCTCAGCCAAAAACCGACATAAGCTAGACTGCTAGACGTATGCAACCAATTCAGCAAGACCGACTGCAAGACCCCACCTGATTTGCAACCTGAGTAAAGCCGAGCACTGTGGGGCGACCCTCGCTCGCACATCCCAGGTCAGCAAGCAGGCATGACTGAGTTTGAGCTTGTTTGCCTCCTCCCGCTGGCTTTCGACCCTTTCCAGCGGCTTTGGGCTTGCGACCATGTTGGACCAAGCAGTTTCATTGGAAAGGCGCTGGCCTTTGTAATCTCCCATGGTGTTTGGCTTGTTGGGCCTCACACCCGTGGGCCTTCTTGCTCGTTTCAGAATCTCGCTTGGCCTGCTGACGAGAAAACAACGCAGAAGGCAAGGATAGGCTTGCCCAGAGTGCGCAGCTGCGGTCCACAAGGTATAGTTCCTTGGCTGCGGCACTCGCCGCAAAAGGCTTGCCGTTGGCGCTGACGGCAGCCGGGGACCTCAGCTTCAGCTCGGCTCACGAAGGGCTTGGGAGTGACCAACTTGGCGCCGGGAGGTGATTGCCTGCGCTTCTGCTCATGAAGCCCCTTCGAAGAGACCAGGTGCTTGGTCCTCCGCCTGCTACTCCAGCTGCGAAGCCCAAGGCGCCCATTCTCGGAGGCTTAGCGGATGCGGGCATCGAGGCTTTGGTCGTCAGAAATCGCTCATATTTTGCGACGTAGCTTTGCTTCTCCCAGAGATGCCTGCGCATTCGCGGCATATTTATGCACCCGAACTCTGCATCCACCGCTGCCTGAACGTGCATAAGGTGCCGACAACCAAACCGCAGCAACTTCCTACTCGTAGATGCTGAAGAAGGCCCCAAGTTGAGACTGACACGAATCCAATATGCAACCATCCCCAAGTCAGCGAAGTCCCAAAAAATCGCCGAAGCCAGCAACCATAGGACCTTCGGATATCTAAGTAACAACTGGAACGTTTAGCCTTGCAAAACCCTGCCTCTGCAAAGTGAGCAGCCCCCCCCTCCCCGGTCCGGTAGCTTTCGCGCACGCCCGCCGAAGGCCTCTGCGCCGTCTTCTGCCAAGCCCAAAGGAGGCCCTCGGAAAGTGTAACAGTGTACATAGCTGCAAACGTTCGGGGGGTTGTCTCAGCGTCTGAGGGCTCGCAGGACATCATGGAGAGAAGCCAGACTTTGAAAACAGTGGGATATGACGCATTGTGGGTCAGATTCTCGTTGGGTTCCCCTGCTGTAAGGTGCCCCTGCGCCCTTGGTGGCCATCCCACCGCTGCCACCGGCATTGGGCGCGGCACCAGAAATCTTCGAGTCAGCACCGCTCCTCCCACCCCTTCCCACCAGGCCTCCAGAGCCCCCGCCTCCCCCCGCACCTCCCCCGCCGCCCCCTCCACCCCCAAACTCGCCTCCACCGCCGCCGGCACCCCCAGACAACAAGCCAAAGCATGAGGAGAAGAAGGAGGACAAGGCGCCTGAGTATCCCCCAAATTATGTCCCCGAGATAGCTGAAGTCCTGTAACTGTACAGTCGCTGCCTGTGGCTTGAACCAATGTTTCTGTTTCATGTCATATAAACAAAAACAGGCCACGGCCAGTCTCTCCGATTGGTCCGAGCACAAAGATGCCAAGACCGGCCAGACGCATCTCGCTTGCATGGGCATGTGGCATCTGAAGCTGCAAGATCAGGCCTTAAGCCCGATTGGCTGGGCGATTTCTCAAGTTTGCAAATGCCTGAACCTGACTCTCAGCGAACTCCCAAACGCCAGGTACTTCCACAACCGAGCGACCGGCGAGTCTACCTGGTCGAATCCCGCGCTCGCCAAAGCTGCAGCGCCAAGAACGAAGGCGAGGGTGTCTTCCACCCTAACGGACGGTCATGTGTGTATAAGCTGTCCATGCTGAAGTTGTTCAGAGTTGCCGGGTGAAAGGTGAATTCAGCCCCATGAAATGTTTGAGACGCGACACCCGAGCCATTCGTGAGACGCGACACCCGAGCCATTCCAAGAGCTCAGCCTCAGATGACCCCCCACAGGGTGAGCACTCTCTAAAGTTGTCAGGCTCTTGATAAGAACTGTTCTCAACAAAGACTGGCATTCGACAATTAAACGTTGTGGTAGTTTGATACTATGTGATACCAGGCAGACAGCTAAATTTTTGCTAGTAGAACTAGTTTCTGGGTTTGGACCTGGTCTTCTGATTGGCGAACACATCCGGGCATTCATCGTGGCGCTTAGAGTGCCAGCAGTGGCAGCGAAGGAGCCCGAAGCTGGTCTCATCCCGGGCACCAAGGATCCGGTTCAGGAGGCTGGGAAGAATCGGCGGACTGCAGCTTGTGTCCTCTACGACTTATGACTCCCAACCGCCACTCTAGCATTGATCATTGTGCGACGTGCACAAGCAGAAACTTGAAAAGGCTCCTAGCTTGAAGGGCCAGCTCATTGAATTTGCAGGAGCCAAAGCCTGCGGGGAGCTCAGAGTGATTGTGCTGCCAAAGAAGCCTGCGGCGAGCTTGTTGAGTCCATGCATGTTTGAGCATCTTTTGAGTCTCGAAGCTGGGCTTACACAAAGAGAACGGAAAACGAGCAACATGGAACTGTCGGCACACCCTTGGAGACTTGGACTCCAAGGCTCCAAAGCCGTCGCCTGCCGCCAAAGCTGCTGCCGCAAGGCCGCAAGAGAGTTCGCCGCATTCCGTGGGTCGATGCCGCAAGATGAGTGCCAGGAACACCCCCCGTTTTGGGGGTGTTCTGTTCCCGGTCCTTACTATAGTGCAGTATAGTGCCCTTCCATCGGCTTCTGGCTGATGAGCTGGTACGCTAGAAGAGTTTCGATGTGCGTCAGCCCTTGGGTTGGGGCCGGGTGAGCCGAAGCTTGGGTCTGGACAAGTTCGATTGAGCTCTTCCGCGATCGAAGGGATCATTCGCGCGAGTGCGAGTTTCGACAGTTTGATCATGTGATGCCATTCAAGCCTCGCTGGATTGGAGCCGTCAAGACCTCGGACCTCGGGCACGGTTGGCAGTGGCAGTGCTGCAGAGCATCCTAGGAGCCGAAAGCTGCTACATCTGCACCAAAGCATGTGGAGACGAGCAGCGATCAGCCCGAGCTCTCTGCCCTGACACATGGCTGCACATGCCACGTGATGCTTGGGATTACACGGAGAAAGCTTTCTTTACTGAATCCGGTTTGTGTCGTCACTTCTGCAGAATCGTCTTCGAAGACGCTGTTGGCTTGGGCTTCGCAGATGTCGCCCGCGAGCTTCTGCTGAGCAGCGGCTGCGCCATTCTTCTGGATAGGCCTTGCCCTCTGGACATGCTCACCCTGCGACTGCTCCTCGGTTGCTCGGTTGCTTGGCTGCTTTTGCTGAGTCTCGAAACAGAAGCGAAGGAGCAAGAGCAGAAACGCTGGTGTGAGTCGAAAGCTCCAGCAAGGCGAGAGGCTCTGGACAGAGGGACGGCGTCGAGGCTTCCTTGCAGCTGTGGCTGCATCATCTTCAGGGCCACCAGCACCACCTTTTCGTGGTGCGCCGATCGGGGGCCATAGCCCTCCTTTTGCAGTTTCCAGGTCGCATCTCGATTTCACGAAGATTGAAGGTGTTAAGTGGTAGTTGTACTAGACCCAAGAACTGCAGCACCAACGGCGGGTGAGCATGCTGCGCTTGCTGAACTTTAACGCGCTTCCGGTGTAACCAGATGCCGACATGTGAGCGGAAAGCTAAACCATCGAAGAGCTAGCCAGACTAGGGCCGAGGCTTGCGCACCGGTTGCTGCTTTAAAAACGGATGTGCGGAAGGGGTGCGCGGAAGGGTATCTTGAGGTCTTTCCTGCGCAAAGACCTGAAATGCGGAAGGGCGCGCGGAAGGCTTAAAGCTTAAGAGCTGACTCAAGGGCCCGCGCGTAAGGGACAGTTGGCTCCGCAGAAGCTGCGCGCACGCTAAACGCGGAAGGGTTTGTTTGCGTCAACGATTTGAAAAGAGGTTTTGGATAACCGCTCATGTGGTGCAGTCATGAACCACAGAAGTTTGTACACGAGCTCTGTGTTCGCTTCCACAAGGTTCTGCTTCGGGCCCTACCTGCGGCGCCAATTTCGAGAAGCTGCTTCGCACGGTCCCTTGACCTCCACTTGGCCCTTCCTCCACCTGGAGGAGGATCTGAGGCCATGGCCGCCACCTATGTTGCCATGTTTCTGGGCATTGTAGAAGTCCATTCGTTTTTTGGTAGACTTTGTAAATGCCAGCATCTTGGATTCAAGTTATCACCGTGCCGGTCCAGGTTTGCAGTCCCTTCTTTCCGGCTCCCCTCCGGCGCACTTGAGCGGGAAGGGTCCGGAACTGGAGCAGGCCGAGTTGGCAGGGCGGGGCACTGGAGTCATTGTGCCTCCAATGTGCACGTGTAGTAACTGCAATAGCTTCGCATCGCAGTCCTGAAAATTAGCTGCTTTTGCTGGCTTGACGAAGGCGAGCAAACCAATTTCCGCTCCCGTCATTGCGACGGCATGCCCCAAACTCAGCCATCCTGTCTCGGCAGCTCTGGGAAAGCCGTTGCGACGGCATGCCCCAAACTCAGCCATCCTGTCTCGGCAGCTCTGGTGTACAGACTTCCTCATATCGGAGCCATGACCTGCTCTGCCAAGCCGAAGGAGAAAGAAAGCCAGACGACTGCTTCTCCTGAAAACCCGCCAAGGCCATTCCCGCGCTCACGCTTCTGCCGTGGTCGGTCGCCTTGCCGCTGAGCTGCTCCAGAGCCAGGAGGAGGGGCTCTGGGACCCCGTCCTCCATGTCCTCCATGTCCTTGCAAGCTCCCCATGCCATGGGAGGTTGTGCTGGTGATGCGCGGGTCTGCGGACGAGCTTGGAACCGAGAACTGCTGTCTGCCTGAGTTGCCGACCTAATTCTCAGGCACCTGTAGACACAGCACAAGCGCCGGCCGACGCCTCCAAGATTTTGAGCTTGACGCGCTCGTGAAGTCGATTTGGCCGAGGACTGACTTCCAGTCGGCGCGCAAGACGTTGTCTGCGCCGCCTCTCGGCCTGGGACCCGGCACAACTCTAGGCTGCGAGCTGCAATGTCTGAAGCCGCATGGCCGAGATGAACCTGGCAACTGCACGAAGAAACCAAGAAGAAGAGATCCTGCAGAAGCCTGGCAGTGAATGTACTTGGAGGGAAAGCAGCTTACACCCTGACAAGAAGAAGTTCGCAAGGGATCTCATCCCTTCAAGAACACTCAGACCCGGCAGGCAACTGGAACAGGCACACTTGTCAAACTTGCTTTGCGACATTGCCGGAATTTCTCGGACCCCCACAGCCAAAGGCTTCGTGGAACTTCTGTACACCACTGACCCGGCCGTGATAGGCTGGCTTCCACAGCTGGGTCGCACGGTGCGGGGATTTGTCGGAAAGCAGGTATCGTGGTTCGAGCTTTAAGACGGTGCAAAACTGCAGATGCCGTCACAGATGAACAACCAGTGGAGTCAAAGGATATGGCGAGCCATGGTGGTACTGACATGCCGCCGGGAAATGCAGTGAAGTCATGCACAAGATGTGTAGAATGGGTCCATAGCTGCACAGTAGCTGATTCTGATGTACACTTCCTCTCTGGCTTCTTGCTAGGCCTCAGTTGCGAAGTATGTACATGCCGAACTCTGTCGTGCATCTATCGGTCTATCTGTTCCGGTCTGTTCTAATCTCACGATATCGACCGTAGATCTTATCTCATTAAAAATTCGCCGTGCCCCGAAACCTCGGCGGCTTGCAACTGAGAAATGCCATGCCTTATTTAATCACCATTTTGTCAGCACTTGTCCTCCAAGGTCTGAAGTTGTCTTGTTCGACTCTGACATTGCGTGTTCTTACTTGTCATTATTTGGCTTTGTCTGTCTTTGTCCAGTGTGTCTTCATGTGTCTCCCTTTCCGGCGGCCCAGCGCAGGGCTTCACTCGACAACCAAACCGGCGACAACTACTGCAACCAAAGCAAACTCCACCCCCCAACCAAATCCCACCCCCCCTACCCAACAACAAAAAGAACAAGACCAAGACCAACAGCAGCAGCCAGAGCACCAGCAGCAGCAACAGCAATAGCAGCAGCCACAGCGAGAGCGACAGTAACAACAACGACGACGACCACGACGACGAAGACGCCGGCAACGACGACAAAAACCACGACAACAGCAGCCACATCAACCACTGCGGCTGCCACCACCACAACAACACAAAAAACAACTACAGCAACAGCAATGCTAGCAGCAACAACAACAACAACCGCAACCGCAGCAACCGATAGCAACGACAGCAACAGCAACAACGACAACAACAACAACAACAACAGCAGCACCTACAACAACAGCAACAACGACGACGACGACGGCAACCAGGACAACGACAGCAAGAACAACACGACAAGACCAGCGACAACGGTGACGGCGACCACGACCACAGCAACGACAACAACAGCAGCAACAACAACGACAACACGGCAGCAGCAGCAGCAGCAGCAGCAGCTGGACCAACAGCAACAACAACAACAATGCCAACAGCAGCAGTAACAGCACCAACGACACCACCCCTCCGAAAGCGTCAAAGCCGGGTCAAATCAGTTTGTTCGTTTTCCCAGATTTTTTGTAAAGCAGCCCCGTAGCGGTGTTGCCTTTCCCTTGAAAGCTTAGGGACAGACGCCCATGAACGTCCAGTTGAGATAAACAATCAGAAGCCTGAAATGCAAAAGCCGTTTCAGATAGATTTTTGTTTATCTTGTAGAATCCTTCATTCACTTAGAAGCATTTCCCAGTTGTCTTAGCTTTTCAAAAGTTTCGAAAAGTCGTTACGAATAATATTGTCAGTCTGCCTTTGTAAATTAACCGCCTCAAGAACCCTCCTCGGCCAGTAAAGGCCTGCACTCGACAACGACCACATTGAGCACCACTTCCCCCTACCTTCCGTTACCCTGCACCTGCCAAACTGACAACAAAGTAGCAACACCGGCAACATCAACAACAAGAGCAAAAACACAGGCCAAAACAATGCCCCCTCACAGGTGCCGGGTGAGCTGCAGCAACGCGCCGCCCTTGCCCTTCTCCCCATCCCCACAGCAACTGCCCAGCAACAGCGGCCCCACCCCCTACCCTGCAAAAAACAACGGCAACAGAAACATCATTCTCAACCACAACAGCAGCAGCAAAAAGCAGCAGCAGCAGCAGCAGCAACAGCAACAGCAGCAACAGCCCGCAACCGCAGCCACAACCACAACCACAGCCGCAACCACCGATGGCAACGAGAACAGCAACGGAGAAAGCCTTTGCAACAACAAGAACTGTGGTGAGAGTGCATGCAGAGTGTCAGCGTTTGCCTTTTTGTGGCGTGTGTCAGGTCTTTATCGTATTCTGTGTCGTAATCGTGGGGGTGTGTAATGTTGTTGAACTATTTGCAAAAGGTCGCTATTCGCGCCGTTTAAGCACTTTTCAACATCGTCTAATGATTTATACAGCTTTTCGATTTTGTTCAACTTATACTGAATTCCATGAAGCATTTGATCTGGCATGTCTTGTGCATGTTTTGTTGTCCTAGTGTGTGCTTATTTCGAGGTTTGTCCCAGCTTGTCTTAAATTGATACGATTTGAAGCCCCGCGGTGTGAGGGCGGAGACCGTGCAACTACCTACCTGATTGGCTGGCTAGCTGGCTAGTTGTCCATTTACTTCTCTGTCTACCCCACCCACCCAATACCTACCTACATATCTACTTATCTATCTATCTATCTATCTATCTGCGGATATCCAGTGTGGCCAGTTCGACGTACTTGTAATTTGCAATTGATGCCAAAATTAATGCATATTTTTTGCAGGTCGACTTGGTAAGTTGGGTCAAATCCAGACTTTACAGAGTAGCGAACGACAGAACTAGTGTGGGAGGATTCCGCTAGCGTGCAACGAATGTGTAAATGAACTCTGATGCACTTCCCGACGGAAGATCCTTGTTTGTGGGCACCACCATAGATAGCTTCCTGCTCAGGCGACGCGATGGTCTCGGCATCTGCTAGGCCGTCAGCATTGCATCCTGAAAGGGCTGGAAACTTGGGCATTCCGCATTCGGTGCAAACGAAGGCGGCAGGGCCTCGAGGTTGTCACATGGATTGAGGGTTTCAGCATGCAGCTGTGCCCCGTTTTTCGCCGGCTCCACACGACCTTCCAAAATCATCAATCAGGGAGTCGTTCTTACCGAGGTCATGCCAGTATCCATCCTCCGGGCAGGTCTGCTGGGAATGTTACTCTGTGGTCATGCGTTCAATGTACTAGGAGTCTAATTAAGCGTGTTGAAGGGACGGACTCCAGAAGCGTCCGTCACCAGAGGCGCTGTGTACGATCTCATACCCGCCGCTGCCAAGCACGTGCTTACCCACGAAAGCAGAAGCTGCCGTAATTAGACCGGTGGAGTGCATTCCTTGGCACTGTGGCCGAGAGAATTTGAAAAAGAACACTTTGAACCCTGAACTTGACCAGGCTTGGGGTATTCCGAGACGAGCACTTCCTGGCTGTCAGCCCAGTGATCGGCAAGAGAGAGCACTGAGCGTCGTCTTGAGAATGCAGTCGTCTTGTAGTGCATGGCCGGGGGCATGACGTCTTCTGAATTAAGACGACGACATGAACAAAGAGGTGGAAAGGATGCATTTGGCCGGATGCGTGTTTGTCTTGGCAAGTGTCCGTCCCAACTTCTGCGCGGCAACTCACACGGCTTCGGCATGATCCGCTGATTGAGGAGCCCCACCCTGTCCGACAGGCTGGCAGTTCGCCGCAAAACACAGCCAAGGTGTGACAAAGCTCCTGACGGCGCTGCAAGAGGCAAGCGTGAGGTTGGCACATGGATACATTACAGCGAACACGAGATGATGGCAAAATCTGAAGAGAACCAACTCTTCTTACATGTGTTGTGGGTGGGCACTCTTTCGCTCAGAAGACAGCAGGTTTGGCAAGGGTGGCGTTGTTCTCGCGAGCTGTTGACTCAGACTCTTCAGCTTCTTCACGGTAGAAGGAGAATCGTGTACTCCTTGTGGATATTTCTTTCGACTTTCGACAACTCCTCAAATTCAACTTTCGTACAAGTCCGATGCACACCGTGACAGTTGAACTGAAGCCCGAAGCCTCGGCGATCTGGTCTGAGCTGATGAAGGCTGAGGCCGTCGAATCCTCACCCCCAAAGCAACTGCCCAAGCAGAGCCCTACCTAAAGCTCCGATAATACTTGCATTGGATTTGAGGTTTGCGGGGCCTACGAAGTGAAGGCTTCCGCCCCAGTGCCAGGCTTTGGGAGATGAGGAAATGGCGGGTTTGGCGTTTCACAGCTGCTATTTCAGTTCAGCTGAGGAGTGTGAGGGTTGAGGCATGCGGAACCCGTCAAGGGTGGCAGTTTCCCAACGAGCAGGAGTCAGGAGCACAAAAAAACGTTAGGAGCACACACACACACACACACACATACGCGCTTGCCTCCTGCCTTGTAGTCGGAGAGCCCCCGTCCTACACTGCCCCTGGCACTCTTGCATGCCAGAAGCCGAAGCCCAGCTACAGAGCCACAAGCAAGCGTCGTGGTTGCAATCTGCCTTTGCTTATAGAAACCAACCCTCCCCAAGTAGACCTGAACCCAAGACCCTAGCCCCAAAGACCCTTGCTGCCATGGGCTGCGGCGCGAGCGCCCAAGCCAAGTATGCCCAAGCTCCGAAAGAGAAGGCCGTGGCTGCTTGCGGTAGACAGACTTCAAGACGGGTTCGGGTTTATCGATTTAGTTTCCTTTGTCCCGTTTGTTTGGAGGTCCGCAAGGAACAACCTCCAAGCCTCGGAGGTTTAACCCTGGACTCCTGGATCTTGCTTGAACCACAAACCGAAGATAATCAAACCAGCCCACGAGGCCGACAGCGCCAACCCAACCCAAGCCCTGGGCCCTAGGCTGAAGCGTCACGGATGGCCAAGCCCAAGCCGCGCCAGGAGCCAGGAAATCGGAAGGCAGCCAAGGAGGCCGAGCAGGAGCCAAAGACGCCCGCCCCAGCGAACCAGACGAGCCCGCAGGTTGTTGCGAATCTGGGCTCGTTTTCTGCATGCTCTGGCTTCTGCCGATCCAAGACAATTCAAGCTCATCCTCGTCGATCCTTGCATGATTGTGTGATTGTGTTGGTGGGTGGAGACGGTGGAGAGTATGGATGTGCAAGCCACTGCGATTTCAACGATGACAACACAGCACTTCATCAAGTTACGGTTTTTCAGAGTCGGAGCACTTGGCAAGGAGGAGGACTGTCCTGCCATTCCACACAATCGGTCGAGGACCCTTGGATTGTGCACGCTTCCGCATTTGGCCCCGCATCGCTGTGATGCTCTGCCCGGAGGAAGCGATCGATCACAGCGGTGGTCCGACCGAATCAGCTCTGGCCTTAGAGCGAAAATCTACCAAGCGCCAGTAGCTCAATTCTCGTGATATCTCGTGATCAGGCGCTTGGTCGACTTCTACCAGGTCGAGAACCGGGGCCTGGCCTTCGCGAGCACCGGGGCCCAACAGCTCGAGAAGTAAATTCGGGGGCTCGGAAGTCCTGCGCTCACACGAGGCACGCAGACTGGCAGCAGGGAACCCCGAAGCAACACAAGGACTTCGTGTGACAAAGTCCACAGGGGGCCGATTTCAGTTCCACTGCCAGGATCACCCTCAAAGCAACGGGCGAAGTCCGAGCCTGCAGGCCCTCCGGCTGGAGCATTTCGAGCTTAAGCTTGCAGTTTGCAGGAACTGCAGCAGCAGCTGAGGACCATTCGCCGGCGTAGGGTGGACTCTTACAGCGCGTCGAAGGACACAATGCAGTCGGCACTACTCGGCTATGCTGCAATTTCAAACGTGCGAACCGTCGATTGCCTGAGCTTGAAAGATCCCAATCTGCCCTGAACCGGACATGGATTCTTGGTTCTGTACAATGTGCCTACGACTGGAAGGCAACCGGCAAGCTGCGAGCCGGGCCCAGACAGTGTACTGTTCAATCCAGGGCCTGCAATCCGAATTTGAATGTGATTTCTGATTTTCCTTCCCCTCCTCCTCAGGATAATTGTTCCAGGATCTAAAAAGCTTTACCCAGAAGGCATCTTTTCTTTCCGACGGTGCCATGTTCAAGCACACCCTCATTGCTTCAGAGAGGAAGTTGAAATCCTCCTGCGCACTGACCACCCGAACATCGTGAAATTGTTCGAGGCCTGTCGGGCTCGGGTCAGAAAAGTGGGCTTCTAGCTTCAAGCTGCAAGTTGCAGCGATGCAGACGATGACTTTGGGCGGTTTTAGATGTACAAGCCGGGTAATTACGAGCTGCTGTAGCTAAACAAGACAACACCTAATACTCAATCGAGGCAGCCACTCAGAAGGGTGAAGTCAAAAAGGGCCTCGTGTACTGGTGGGGCCGCTGCTGCAGTCTGCATTGAGCCGAGTTGGCCGCATCGGTCACCGGATCTGATCTTGTGGTTGCCTGCGGGATGTATGAAGCAGTCGAAAGGCAAACTTGCATGCAAGGTGTTTGAGGATGAGGTCAACATGTACGTCATCCTTCAGTGGTGTGAGGCGGGCAATGAAACCCGAAGGTTGCAGCAACTTCAGGATCCTCCGTGCAGGCGGCCTGGGACTAGGCCTAGTCGAGGAGGCACACTCTGTCGAAGGGCAAACTTGCAGCAGTAGATGCCTGAGCTCTTGCGAGTTCTGGTAGACTCCATGACAAGCTCGAGCCTCCTTTGTAAACCTCGTGTTTTTCTTGAACTGGTGCGATACTTGGGCCTCAAGCCCTGAAGCCTCCAGCGATTATCCCCAAGAGGGTGGCAACATCCTGGAGCGCATTCAGAAGGAGCCGGACCTTTCGGAATCTGCAGTAGAGCCTCGGCGAGCTCAGCTATAGTTTGATTTCGCATTCATTGCTCAGTCATCCGGCTTGATCCGTTGGTTCATATGGAAATGAGGCGCACATTCTGCAGCAGGTGCTGCACGCTGCTTGCCGAGAGCTGAGCTCTGAAGTCAGGTATCAGCCAAAGGCCTGCCGCCGCTGCAGATCAAAGAAAAACTCGATTCCCCTCAGCCTGCGGCTTCAGGTCATTTGCACCTGAACCTGATCTGCCACCGCAACCTCACGCTGGAGCACATCTGCTTGTTCGAGCGGGCGGGGAAAGACGCCTGCGGTTGTATAGACCTACTACGACAGATGTCATGGCCTCTACTATGCCAGTTGCTACGTGTGCACAATGAATCTAAGGCGGCTGTGTTTTTGCCACCTCGTGTCCTTGCATGGCAAGGAGTAGCTTCAAACGATTCAATCCGCCGTAATTTGGTATGCCAGATCCAACCGCACAATGCAACTGGGATTCGCACACTCGCTTCCTTGTCGCAGAACCTTGCGCTGGAAAAGAGCGTAGTGAAGCTCTGGGACTTTGAGCTGGCGACGACACTGCCTAAGGAGGGTGCCAGTGCCTGGCCTTGAAGGAGTGGACGAGTGGATCAGAGTAGAGCCTGTAGACTGTAGATGTTTCTGCAGCACTGGGCTCGTGCCGGACTTTGTTCTGGCATGGTGGGGAAGTGCTGTTGTTAGGACATTGATACCGGTCCTCGAAATTTGCCATGCTGCGATTTTTTTTAGACCCCTTCCTAGGGCCCATCCTACCGCCAAGGCATGAGCGAAAGCCTCGTGGAGCATGGCCCCTCGGATAAAGGGGGCGACATTTCGCCTCGGCTCTGTGGCTCTGCCAGCTGCCAAAACTTGGGGCCCGTTTAGATGAAAGGTTTATTTTTATTTGAGCGAGACTGCAGTCTGGATTGATCTTGGCTCTTGAGTTTGTTTTTATGATAAAGCTTGTGGAGCCCTTCGAACTTCAAAAGACGGGCAGCCCCAGGCCCCAGGCGCAAGCTACAAAGACAAGCTGAGGAAACGTTTCCTACATGGCTCCAGAGCTCCTGATGCAGATGCCTCTCTACTGTGGCCCAGCTTGCAGAACAGGGTGTGCCGCTCAAAACACGTGAAGAGTCGTCTTGGTGTTGGAACGTGAGATGGGGTAGTAGCAGCAGTCGTAGTAGGCAGTAGTACATAGTAGTAGTAGTAGTAGTAGTAGTAGTAGTAGTAGTAGTAGTAGTAGTAGTAGTAGTAGTAGTAGTAGTAGCACTAGTAGGCCTGTGCCCCTGTGGGGCCCGAGCCGAGAAGTAGTAGGAGGAGGAGTAGTAGTGGTGGTGGTGGTGGGGGTGGGGGTGGGGGTGGGGGTGGCGGTTGCGGTAGCAGCAACACCAGCAGCAGTAGCAGTAGTAACTAGAGTCGCGGTCGCAGTAGGAGTCGTCGTCGTAGCAGCAGCAGTAGCAGCAGGAACGCTGTAGCAGCAGCACTAGCACAAGCACTACTAGTCGAACTAGGAGTAGGAGTAGGAGTGGTAGTAGTAGCAGCAGTAGTAGGAGGATAGTGAGTTGGCTGGTTAGTAGTTGGTTAGTTAATTAGTTAGGCCGTCGTTTTCGTCGTCGTCGCCGTGGTTGTTGTCGTTGCTGCCATTCCTGCTGGTGCTGCTGTTGCTTTTTGTTGTTGTTGTCGTTGCTGCTGTTGCTGTGTTTTGTTGCTGTTGTTGTGGTTGTTGTTGTTGTTGTTGTTGTTGTTGTTGGTGGTGGTGGTGGTGGTGGTGGTGGTGGTGGTGGTGGTGGTGGTGGTGGTGGTGGTGGTGGTGGTGGTGGGGTGTCGGTGTCGCTGTCGTTGAGGTTGTCGTCGTTGCTGCCGCTGTTGTTGGGCTGAAGGCCATTGTGGATCGAGCCCTGGTGTACAGATGGGCGCTGGCAGTTAGTGCGCTTGGCAGCTAGCCCCTCGGCTCAGCTCGGTTGCCATGGCAAGAAAGCCCTACATGCCAACCCGCCCGGGCTCCAGGCTCGGAAGGGAGGACCAGAAAGGCCAAGGCCAAGGGCAAGACCCAGCAGCTGTGAACCGGCGGCGTTGGAGGCAATGGGAAGCCTCAGACCAGGTGCAGCAAAGCTTCCTCGAAAAGGCAGGCTTCGCTACACCGCTAGCACAGCTCTGCAAGCGGTACGAAGAGACCTGCCGGAGGAAATCCAGGCAACACTCCCCAAGCTTGAAGCAGCTAAACCACAGCCGACGCTACAGCAGCAGCTCAACAAGGCCAGCCGAAACTTCCAGGCGGGAGCCCAGAAGCACCGAGCCTTGCAGGCAAAGCAGCACTCCAGGCTAAGCTCGACAAGCTCAAGCAAGACACGGAACGCCTTGAGGAGATGCAGCATCTCAACAAGGAAGAGCCC